GCTTCAGATCACCGATTGATTCAGGCAGCAGAGCCAATCCCAAATTGCTTAGATTTAGAGTGCGTAGGCTCTGAAGTCTATCGGCAAGATCATCAGGAACGGTCATCAGGTAACTCGTAGAGCCGCCAACCAGGATTAGTGTATGCAAGCCTTTGCATTTATAAACTTCCTCAGATAAATTGTTTTCTCCCCTTAACCGAGGTGATATGTTTGAGATATTTTGATCAAATAGGTCATATTACAGTGACAAATGGTGAATGCTGGCAGAGCCAAACCAGCCTTTGCCGGGCTCCACGACAGAACATTCCTCGGCTGCTATATGTCGGGCAAATTCATGAACAACATCATGCATGATGTACCTAGAGGTGTTTGTTGAATTCTGGACTTGAAGAGGAGATGGTAGCTGAGCAATCACACACTGTGAAGGTGTGGTTAGAACTGCTTTGCCATTAAGATGAAGTTTTGGAAGCTAACATAGTTGACTCAGTCTGCCCTGGAATCTTTATCATATAAGGGAGTGCTCAGAGTGTCGGAATGATGGGCTAACTAGTTTGTCAATTTTATTAAGCTCAAACTATTGATTAAAATACTTCAATTAAAATTTTTACAGTACACCCATCAAATCTTTGTAAGTCTATCTTAGTGTTGCCCACTTCTAACATGGGACTAATCGGGATGTTTCAAGCTCCCTCACTTAAGGCTAAGATGATCATCGTTTTGTTCCTTTTGTCATGAGTAAAGTTAGCAAGTTCTTGAAGATAAAAGAAACAAAAAATTGAGATGGATAGAGTTTTAGAATTCATGGACATGAGCAAAAGAGGAATGGCGGCAACAGATTCTGATCACAACCTAAGATTCAGAGATGATTAAACCTTGCTGTCGCATTAGTAGATGAGCAACTTGCTTTTGTTTGCAATCGTCAGTCTTCCTTGATCTTTCAATTGGAAAGTATTAGGAAGCAACTTGGCTCTGTTAAAGTCTTCCTTCGTCTAGTTCTGCTCGGTTGCATTATCACGTCAATTTCCAGGAGAGTTTCCCAGCTGCTGATAGCTGTCTTTTTGGTGGCCACAAATCTCGTCTCTCTTATTCGTATTTAGTATGGTTGTCCGAAAGCTACTAATTTCTCCTAATTAGCAGTTCTCAGGAAATTCTCAGAACCTTCACATTCAAGAAGATGCTCCAGTCATTTAAAACTCGTGATAGGGTTCTTGAAGAGTTCGTTTTTTAGATGAAAGCTGTTCCAACTTTGGGGCTCATCAAGATCGGGCATCATGGTTGACTGACTTGAGGATAGACAACAATATGACATGAGGAACAAATACATGATATTGACAGATAACCAAATAGTTGAAGGTTTCTTGGTCTACGCTCTTATCCCATTTAATATTTATTGGAAGTAGAGATCCAACTGATCGATTGAAACATGTCTTTGATAGCTCCCTATGCACTCTTGTCACAACCCACAGATTTCTCATGATTAACCTTAAGATAAGCTGCGTATTTTTATTATCTGTAATCTAGGATAATTGTATTGGTGTGAGATGATCCACTGTGACGGCATGATCATGTACACAATTTTCGTCACAATTGAATTTATGTCACTTAAATATTGTATTTATGTCACGCACGTTTGTATATGCCCAATTAACTCAGACTAATCATTATTATTAGTTTCATGAAGGATATATGTGTGTGTAAAGAGTAGTGATGAAAATTTGAATTTAACATTGAGAGTCAAATCATGTAGATTCACTATAATATTTATGAATTTTGCATATATATGTATGTATATATATATATATTATGTAGATGTGTTTTTATATTTTGAACGAGTTCAAGAAACAATTCATCAACGAGAATATAATATAAATTATTCACAGATATCGTAATTTAGAAATGAATTGTACCAAATAATTAAGTAAAAAATGTTGCGTAGGTGGTAAGTATGAAGACTATGTTTTGGGTATAAGAATTAGGAGGGCAAGCAAAGAAATTTTGGATAATTTATGCAGAAATGTCTGTGTAACATTGATAGCGTGACAATTGTGAGCTTAATATATGACAGCAATTTTATATATGACAGCAATTTTGATTGTCAATTTGGACCACCATATCTCTCTTTCAGTAGCTAGAAGTGTGATATTATCATTCATTCTGGTCATCATGCTTCTGCAAGTAGGACCGAGTGTTGAACTGGTAGTAGAATGATCACATCATATATATGGACCATCTGCCATTGTGGTAGTGATTCCTCGACCTGTTCTGTCAAATTTCTTGCCAGTTTCTATGCACAACCGGTGCCAGAAATATGAAAATCTAATTAAATAGCTTAATGAATTAAGCTGCCATTATGCTTGTTTTTCTAGTTTCTAGGACTCATGTAAGACATTACAATGGATTTGCTCAGTAGCACATCATGGACACGTTCTATCATTGTCAACCTAGAAAATGGATTGTGGACTTACTGGCTTGACCGTGACTTAAGTCTCATCCACACAGAAGAATGGACTAACAGATGAATGGAGGAGAGAGAGCTTGTCACTCCATATTATATACCAGTTGATACCTGCATTGTGATGCACCAGCAACCATAACCCCATTCCATGGCTACAGACAATGTCTACGTTCTCTTCTACTTATTGGCCTTCCTATGCATTCAACCCAACGTCTGCGACGGAGCTCTAACCTCGGGCTGCATCCCTGCCGAAAGAAGTGCTCTACTTGAGTTCAAACGTGGCCTGAAAGATCCTACCAACAGGCTGTCCTCTTGGGTGGGTGAAGACTGCTGCAAATGGGAGGGTGTGACGTGCAGCAATCATACTGGGCATGTCGTCAAGCTGGACCTCCACAATCCGCATCCTTTCTCTGATTTTGGTGGCGAGCCATACAACAACTGGACCTTAGGAGGTGAGTTGCGGCCTTCTTTACTTGGTCTGAAGCACCTAAAGTACCTGGACCTAAGCATGAACGATTTTGGAGGCATTAATATTCCAGAATTCATGGGGTCATTCCATCGACTCCAATATCTTAACCTCTCCCGTGCTGGATTGGGTGGACTCCTGCCTCACCAGCTGGGAAATCTCTCCAATCTGCAGTATCTAGACTTATACAATGACTTGGATCCCAATTTTGTGGTTCCGGTCCGTGAATTTAGCATTGGTGATGCACTCTGGATTTCTCACCTTTCTTCTCTAAAGCATCTCAACCTGAAGAGTGTTAACTTTCAAAATGGTACTCACTGGCTGGAAGCTCTGAACATGCTTCCTTCTATTGTGGAGATATACTTATCTCTCTGCGAAATTGGAAGTGTTCCCCTCTCTCTTCCACATGTGAACTTTACATCACTGTCTGTTCTTGATTTGTCGGATAATCTCATTGACTCTACGATACCCTCTTGGTTATCCAACATAAGTGGCCTTGAGCACCTTGATCTCAGTGAGAACGACCTTCAGGGTAATATTCCACCGACCTTTGGTAACTTGGCTTCCCTCAAGGAACTTAATTTAGCTTTCAATCCTCTTCAAGGAGGAATACCCACTTCCTTCAAAAATCTGTGCAAGTTGCAGAATTTAATATTGCCAGGCATCAATATCAGCCAAGATTTGTTAGGACTCGATGAAAGTTTTTCTGGTTGCATCAAGATGAGCTTAGAGAGTCTGGACTTATCCGGCACGAATATTAGTGGGCAGTTGCCTGAATGGTTATTGCAACTCAGGAAGCTTAAAGTACTCAATTTGGGGTGGAATCTGATTTCTGGTCCTATTCCTTTGTCACTTGGACAACTAGCATCACTCCAAGAGCTCTATCTTGGGGTAAATCAGTTGAATGAAACTATACCAGAAAGTGTGGGGCGGCTGTCTCAGCTAGTTACTTTGGACCTCCAGCACAACAATTTGGAGGGTGTAATGTCTGAGGCGCATTTTGGAAACCTCACAGAATTGAAATACTTATGTTTGTCGTCCAACTCCTTGGCTCTGAAGGTCGAGAGCAATTGGCTTCCTCCCTTCCGGCTAGAATCCCTTCAGATGGACTCCTGCAAACTGGGTCCTGAGTTCCCTGCATGGCTCCAGTCGCAAATAAATATTTTCGAAATTGATATGTCTAATGCTGGTATTATTGATGCTATGCCAAACTGGTTTTGGAGCTTAATTTCCACAGCAGAGTACGTGAGTGTCTCCGGCAATCAGATCAGTGGCCACGTACCCAATTTATTGCATTTAAATAATCTCGACTGGTTGGATTTAAGCTCAAACTACTTCGAGGGTCCTCTTCCATATTTTCCTCCGGGAATGTATTTTTTAGATTTATCAAATAATTTATTCTCGGGAACAATTTCACTTGACATCATGAATATGCCTTACCTCATATATTTATCGCTTTCAAAAAATAATTTAAGTGGCCAAATTCCCTTCTCTGTATGCCAACTGCAGGCTTTACAGGTTCTTGATCTTTCAAAAAATACGTTATCAGGAGTGCTCCCCAATTGTTGGAATAATTCTTCAGGTATTGTAATTATGGATTTTTCAAGCAACAACATATCTGGAGTTATTCCTAAGTCTATATGTTCCATGGCATCACTTCAGTCGTTGCACTTGAACAATAATAGTCTATATGAAGAGTTGTCCCTGTCCTTGAAAGATTGTACGAAATTAGTCATTCTTGATGCTGGACATAATGATTTGAAAGGTGAAATTCCAACTTGGATTGGCGAAAGTTTAACTAGTCTGAGGTTCCTCAATCTACGATCAAATATGTTGGTCGGAGATATTCCTCCAAATCTTTCAAGATTGAGTTCTCTCCAATTTCTCGACCTTGCAGATAATGAGCTATCGGGAACTATTCCAAGGAGCTTTGGAAATTTTACTGCCATGAAAGTAATTGAAAATTTTTCAAGTTCGACGACAGATCAAATTAGATATAAGGAGCATATGTTTATTACAACTAAAGGAAACACTCTCTCCTATGATGAGTCACTTTTGCTCATGAATATCTTGGACCTCTCAGACAATAACTTATTTGGAGGAGTACCCGAAGAAGTCACAGGTCTTTTTGGCTTATTCAGCTTAAATTTATCTGGAAATCATTTCACAGGAGAAATCATTGAAAATATCAGTAAATTACAACAGTTGGAGTCCCTTGACTTGTCAAGGAACAACTTTTCTGGCACAATTCCTTCTGGCCTCGTTGCTCTGACTTATTTGGCTCACTTGAACCTGTCATACAACAACTTGTCAGGGGAAATTCCTCTTGGTAATCAACTTCTGACCTTCACTGATCCATCTATCTATATTGGCAATCCTGGTCTTTGTGGGTTTCCTCTGAATCAAAGTTGCAAAGATAGTGAGACAACACAAGGTCAAAGTAATTCAGATGATGGAGATGAGAATGAGATGATATGGTTCTACACGAGCATGGCACTAGGATTTGTTGTTGGTTTCTGGGCAGTCTGGGGTACCTTGATACTTAACAAGAATTGGAACCTTTATTACTTCCGATTTATAGACAACATGTTTGACAAAGTATATGTGTTTACCATACTGAAAGTTTCTATGATCAGAAAACGTTGTTGTTCCCAACAAGAATGATAAATTTGAACATCAATATCAGCTATATGAGAGTTCATCTCATTAATATCATATCATCAGCTTGAATAAATTTTCTTCTTCTGAATACTTTTGGACTTGTATACAAGTAAGTCATGCACTCTCAATTTTGATCATTTCTGTCAAGATCTCAGTACCATACGAAGTGTTCTAATTCTGGGGATTGCCAGAAAGCTTGCACCTTCTAATTAGTTTTTCCAAAATAGACACCCCTTTTTTTAGTTGTTCAGTTTGGCAGAAATGAAAGGAGGTTAAAACTTTTAGGAAGATATAGATAGAATTTATGGTTTTATTTTCTTTCCTTTTCTTTTGATGTCCAAATCAGAAGTTAAAAAGATCCTCTCTTTTTTTTTCTCAGTTTATAGTATCTACTTTCATCCTCTATTTTCCCAAGTTTATGGTATCTACTTTCATCAAATGCATTTGCATGTCTTCTTCTTCCCAAGCATTACACGTCAAAACTGACACAATTGCAATCACAAGTTCGGCTGCAAATGATTTGGCCACCTTATTCCATTAATTTAACACTTGTTGAACTTATGCGCAGGTGTTTTTACCATACGCTACTCTTGTTTATGTAAATCCAGTGTCAGTATATCTAGAATCAGATTTCATTTTACATTACTAATTTTTTCTAGAGATCAAGGTTTAAATTATCATTAACCCTTCCTACAGGCCACATTGGTGATAGCCTCTCATGCAAAGGTATGTCTTCTTTTAAATCTCTTCAAAGATTAAATTTATCTCACATCAAAGAGCTTCCATATGTTAGTGCCGTCTGAATTTTGATATAGAATAACTTGGCATCACGGTCAAGATACTCGAATTCTGCCCAAAATAGGACAGCCTGAGTTAGAGCAGGAGTAGCTTGGATCTGAATTGCATGTACACTGGAGTTGCTTGCGATGGTTTAGTATGCTCTCTAACCTTCAAAGTTGTGGTGCTCTCAAAGAGCAAATAAGGTTCATACACAAGAGACTCGTTGTATTTGAGATGTTACTCGTGCTTCATGCTTCTTGCGCCCATGTAGAACTTTAAGGGGATCTCTTGTTGCGTGTTGAGTCTTACTGTAAATTTGTATCCTCCAAACTGTACATTGCTACAACTATCCAACCGAAGAAGCTATGGGATGCATCTGCAGTTGCAACAGATGGAGCTGTTTAATATGATCTACTCACGTAAATGATCCTCTTGTCTTCATCATTCAAATACATATTGGTTGCATCATAAGCTCAAGTCCACCAAATGTGCAGCTGCATGATCTTCTTGGATCTCATGTTCAGATCTTTTCAGTTGATGAGTCTCCCATTAATGGGGGACATGCTGCTGCAGCTAATGGAATTGGGCCGAAGAGGCTTTCACATGCATGTCAATGTGACAAGGATGATTTGTGCACGCAAGAATGATCCATTTATGGCCACCTTCAAAATTCATGTGAGATGTCATATGCTTTGTTGTTGTTGTTGCTATTGTTGAAAAGGTATGGCATAAGAAGACTATTAATATGGTTTTGAGTGTCAACAGTTAGTCTTTTCTTTCATTTTGGTGTTGTTTTGTGAACGATCAGCGCCAATCAAAGGCCAAGTTCAAATGGGGCCCCTCTTTTTGTTGTTTGCATTACCCAATAACTAAAAACCCCAAGAGAAAAGCGTCAATCATACGCAGCACTCGATTACCAAAGCCGTGTCCTCTGCATATTCTGTCCCTTTTCTGCCGCTGCTGCTCGTTTTCTCTTCCGCGTCGCTTCTTCGCCTTTTCTAGATCTCCGGATTCGCGCCTGATATGTCTTCCTCCAAGCCCGCCGGATCCATCCATGACTTCACCGTCAAGGTTGGTGGCCCTCGGGGTTTATGTTTTCTATCGTCATCGTGTGCTCCGTTTCCTTGTCTTTTTAGTGTGCTGATGGTGGCTCCTTTCGAAGATCGATTTTTTAGACTGAGTCGGCTGTTCGATTTGGAGGATTGCTCGAAAGATGGGATTTTGACAAGGGATTGGTTGTTTTTATCGTTGGTTTTGTTTTAATTTGTCATCCGGAGTCGGCACGGAGGTTTATTTTTTAAGATCCACTGCCCTGTAGTTGTGGATTTCTTGTGATTAGGTCTTCTTTGTGATTGTTCTTGGTTTTAGGGATGGATTGAGTTTACCGTGGTGGTCGATTATTTGGAACATATTTAATCTTTTCTGATTATATGCAACTTGAAGTAGTTTTTGATGGTCATTGGTTTCTTGTTCGGAACGAATTCTTGAAGGAGTGTGGGGGAAGAAAACTTTTTCTCTGCGAGTGTGGGTGGTGATGATTGATGATGATGATCATGTGTTGTATGGCTTCCGATGCAGGATGCCAGGGGAAATGATGTGGATCTTAGCATTTACAAAGGGAAGGTCTTGCTGATTGTCAATGTTGCATCTCAATGGTACTGCAGCTCTATTAAGTTTGCTTCTGTTCTGCGAATTACAGATTAACATATGTTAGAAGGTTATGATTGTCTGAGATTGTTACGATTTCTCAACATTGTTCACTTTCTTAAAATTTAAAATATATTCATTATGTATCTGTCCTTGTTCTTATCTAAATCTCTTACCTGTGTCAGTGGACTGACTAACTCAAACTACAAGGAACTGACTCAGCTATATGAGAAGTACAAGGACAAAGGTATGCAATTCTGACCTCAATTGGCTTAGTTTGGTTTTTGTAATCAGGACAACTGCCTGTTCTTTCCATTTAATACCTTATGATCAGATCTTGTTCAAGAAATATTTGATACTTGACAATTTTCAACAAACTTTCCAAGAGTACTTAATACTATTCAATAGATGAAAATAGGAGGAATTTATAATCCCGATCCTTGTCGTGTCATCATTTTGAATCCGTTCCTTTTGAATTGGCACTTTCTCCATCACAATAACTGGGAAGAGACTTCTTCAATAACTAGCCTTAGTACTTTTTTCTTTTTTGGCATCTGTTCATACATGAACCAATCATAAAAAGAATATGATTCTTTATGTTGATTCCCTAGTTATAAGATAAGCTGAGACCTATTTGGCCAATATTTTCATGATACTTCTTTATTACTAGAGGCTTCACGAGTCTTATATGTTGTATTTCAATTTTTTTTAAGAGCAGGATTTGTCTCAATTATTATGCAACTTGGACTATGGTGTCAATTGAAAGACCATGGCAAACTAATTAATAGTGCACAAATTATGACTCAGTGGCTGTAGATTTTTTTCTATGAAAAGGGAGCAAATGGGACAGCAGTGAGAGCAAGAAAGAAGGATTTAATTGACATTTTTTAGTGAACAAGTTAATCGTTGATTGGTGGTGAAAAGACAGTTTCGTGGTGAAGTAATAATATTTTCAAGGATATGTTTATCTTTGGATATCATATTTTAGTTTATGTACTTGTTGCAGAATATTTATTTGCACCATTATTCACTTTGCTTGAAGGGATTGGTATTATCACACAGCATCTTAGCATTAAGAGAACATTTTAAGGGTGGCGTTGGACACCAAATGGAAATCAAATTGATCTTTATTTATTAATAAAATCATGTGCTTTTGTTGTTCTTTAGAAACTTTAATACTCCTGATTTCATTTGAGACTTTGTAAACCTGGGATTAGCACAAGTCTCTACAATACGCCAACAGGTTTTTGTGTTACTAGGTTGTGTATTATTAAGGAACAGATATCTTGTTTCTTTGGCTGAGCTGCATGTTCTTACACTTGTTAAATTCTCTTTCCCGATCCTTTTTTCATCGACTATTTTCTAAATCTTGGATTATAAAAGTCAAATAGAGTGAAGATAATTAAAGTGAACTTTATCTTCTAAAACAGGCTTTTGCTTATTATTAAGATGATTCAGATAAACTCTGCAATTCAAAATTGCAGCTTTTGACACCCATAATTGTCCACGAGAAGCATTTGAAATAAAATTAAGGGGCATAAATCTCTTTGCCTGTTCTTTTAAACACTATTCATCATTAAGTAATTTTATCTAGAAAGGAGAGCCAAATTTATGCAGTCATGAAATTTTTTGTTCTCATATTTCTTCTACCTTGATTGATTACATGGCACAGATTTTGAGATTCTGGCTTTTCCATGCAACCAATTTGCTGGGCAAGAACCAGGAAGTAATGAGGAGATTGTTGAGTTTGCTTGCACTCGTTTCAAAGCTGAATATCCGATATTTGACAAGGTAAATTATTGCTTTTTTTCCATTTTCTTAATTTCTCGGTTCATCCCTTCAAAAATCTTCTATAGGTGAATTTCACAGCTAGACCATTCTTGAGCTGTGTTTACCCCCATATAAATTTATTTATTTATTTATTTGTCATATCATTATGTTTGAGAGAAACCAACTGGGTCGCTTGACTTTCTAGTTGTAATTTATTTTCTTCTGTAGGTCGATGTGAATGGTCAAAATGCCACACCCATATATAAGTTCTTGAAGTCGAGCAAAGGTGGCATTTTCGGGGATGGCATCAAGTGGAACTTCACCAAGTTCTTGGTGGACAAGGATGGCCGCGTGGTAGATCGCTATGCCCCAACCACATCCCCTCTGAGCATCGAGGTAAACCCAAAGCTACCTCGCCTCATCCCTCATGCCCTTTGTCAAACTATGTTCGATATACTCGACGATGCCAACAATATACCATCATCTAATGATTTATCTTAAATAACTTTGCAGAAAGATATCAAGAAGCTTTTGGGGCTTTCATAAATTACACATGCTCGCAGCCTCTGAACCTTGGCTCTTGCTTGCACACATTTGTAGTACATATGACTATGAATAAAGTGTTGTAAGCTGGATTATGAGAGACATTAATTAGTAACTGCATGACTATATACAAACACAGTGTTCATTCGTGTACTTGATAACTTCTCTTGGTATGTTGGTGGAGAGGTTTATGATAAACATGTGGTAGCTCTCTTATAATTCTTCTGTGGTTTATCATATGGCTCTTGATTGATCTGCTGAGCATCCTGTAATCTCACTGGAGTTTGAAGCTTGTGATATTTGGAGCAGTATATTTAGATTTATCACAATGATCTACTGAGTTCCATCTGTGAGTTATTTTTTCACTTGAATAGATCTCCTCTCGATTAAAGATAGAATAGACACCAATTTGTTACTTTCTTGATAAAAAAACTTTGTTAACTTGAAATTGTTTTTATTTAATTAGCTGAGGAAACTAATCATAATATTATTTATATCTAATTAATCACTTATAATTGTATTAGCAATCAACTACTATTTTATATAATTACAATCTAGTCTAATGGGATAAATAATAGTAATGAATTAAGGTTATAGACTAATTCAATTGGGTCTTTGAATTAAACCTAAATTTTTTCTCATTTAAGAGTTGGCATTCTTGTTAAAAAGCTCAACATAAATTAAGATCAAACCCTAATATGTTTGATGCTCAGTTTGTATGATATAATCTGTCATGATTATGTTTAATATAACTAACTCATTGATCCATAATACATAAGCTCAAGTTAATGATAATATATCCACATCTGACGTAAATCCAAACTTGAAGAGTGTCACATTTCTAGTGTGATCTTAAAAAGACATTGCTTCCATGGGAGTCTCTTCTTTTTTGTCTCACCGACGACAAATATCTTAATGGCTAACGATTACTTCCGGAGTTCATACTTTGTGGAGATTAATCTATATATGTATTAACTCTCTTTAGGAGAGACGGCAAGAAGAAGAAAACAGAGCATCTTTGTTGGATTCGGAACGATGATTAGATCAGTGAACAGCTCCATCTTGTGCTGAGATAGTTCAGTGTTCCTCTCAGCAAACACACCATGCGAGCCGAGGGAAGCACTCCATGTCTGCTTCTACCTTTCTCCTGTCTCCATGATCATCAAACAGCTGGTTTCGGACGCCTCCCAAATAAATGCCGCAAGGAGGAAGCTGCCCCATTCCAGTGAAGTCCTCATCAATCATTGGAGTGTTTGGCTCCAATAACAATCGACAGCCAACCTGTCCTTCTCCGCACAGCTATTCCAGTGCTGATCTGCTTCCCGGAAGCTCTTTGGCGTTGGGAGAAAGATCCAGTTTGCTACTGTGTTCCCAAGTAGCTGAAATGAATGCCATCATGTTTGATCTGTAAGTGGACTTGGAGGTTGTTCCCTCCGTGGTGCACACTTGCTTTCATTGTTGGATTAGTTTACACACAATCTAGACTTTTGATCTCAATATGTCACTATTAGTATCTCACACTTTGTCGAATTCCACCTCATCTTACATATCTAAGAAGGCAAAACATCTAATCCTACATTGCTCTGTGAACTACTGATTTGGACCAGCAGACCATAACATCTCAACAACTCTCTCCAACTTAGCATACTGTGTGGCAAATGAGGATGACAGACTGAGCCACATTGTTCATGTCATGCACTCAAATTAGAGAAGAGTGTTCACCTGCCATGTTTCTATTGGCTGTGTAAAGTATGGTGTTTGTGACATTGGGGTTCATATGGAGCACCCTAATCATGTCATCCACCAAATATATTTTGCAGGTATAACATGCCACACTGTGTACTCTTGGCTTATATCAAATCCTTGTAGTTGTACACTTTGTTGCATCACAATGATCATGTCATGGCCAAAGGAATACATTAGGATTGAGCTAAATTTGCATTTAAACTCAATCCAACCCCACATCCAGCCATTTTCCACTTCTCTGTCTACCGACCATTTGTTCCTCCCTCCCTAATAATATCCCCCAATCAACTTGTCCTTCCCCATCTACAAAAGCTCACAGCCATCTCAGAGCTGCTTGCAAGCTTTCATTGCCCCTCCCCTTGGTTCTCTCCCCACCTCTCTCATCTCTCTCTATCTATCTATCTCTGTATCCTTCTTCTCCATCCCTTAATCCCCACATTCCCTTCTTATATTTCAGTCTCTTCCATCTCCTTCATCAATCTTTCCTATTCTTCGTACGTCGATTCTTCTGCTCCATATCAGGCATCAGCTTCGAGATCAACAACCATGAGGGAGATCCTGCACGTCCAAGCCGGCCAATGCGGGAACCAGATAGGCGGCAAGTTCTGGGAGGTGGTGTCCGACGAGCACGGCATCGACCCCAAGGGGGACTACGTGGGCGACTCCCGCCTGCAGCTGGAGCGGGTGAACGTGTACTACAACGAGGCCAGCGGCGGCAGGTACGTGCCGCGGGCGGTGCTCATGGATCTGGAGCCGGGAACCATGGACGCGCTGCGCACCGGGCCTTACGGCCAGCTCTTCCGCCCCGACAACTTCGTCTTCGGCCAGAATGGGGCCGGCAACAACTGGGCCAAGGGGCACTATACCGAGGGCGCCGAGCTCATCGACGCGGTCCTTGATGTGGTCCGTAAGGAGGCCGAGAACTGCGACTGCCTCCAAGGTATGTATACAGACACATAGCAACGATTCGATTGCCACGTACGTGAATTCCGATGTTGCATGGTGGTGGTGGTGGTGGTTGTGGTGATAGGGTTTCAGGTTTGCCACTCGCTGGGAGGAGGGACGGGGTCGGGGATGGGGACGCTGCTGATATCCAAGATCCGGGAGGAGTACCCGGACCGGATGATGCTGACGTTCTCAGTGTTCCCGTCGCCCAAGGTGTCGGACACGGTTGTGGAGCCGTACAACGCGACGCTGTCGGTGCATCAGCTGGTGGAGAACGCCGACGAATGCATGGTGCTCGACAACGAGGCTCTCTATGACATCTGCTTCCGGACGCTCAAGCTCACCAACCCCAGCTGTAAGTGTTAGCCTCACCCCAAGCAAGTCCTCCGGTGCTTAGAAATGATGCTGGTTGTACATGTGTACGCAGTTGGGGACCTGAATCACCTCATCTCCACCACCATGAGCGGGGTGACGTGCTGCCTCCGCTTCCCGGGGCAGCTCAACTCCGACCTGCGTAAGCTGGCCGTCAACCTCATCCCCTTCCCCCGCCTGCACTTCTTCATGGTGGGCTTCACGCCGCTGACGTCGCGCGGGTCGCAGCAGTACCGGGCGCTCACCATCCCGGAGCTCACCCAGCAGATGTGGGATGCCAAGAACATGATGTGCGCCGCCGACCCACGCCACGGCCGCTACCTCACCGCCTCCGCCATGTTCCGCGGCAAGATGAGCACCAAGGAGGTGGACGAGCAGATGATCGCGGTGCAGAACAAGAACACCTCATACTTCGTTGAGTGGATCCCCAACAACGTCAAGTCCAGCGTGTGCGACATCCCTCCCACCGGCCTCTCCATGTCCGCCACCTTCATGGGCAACTCCACCTCCATCCAGGAAATGTTCAAGCGCGTGTCGGAGCAATTCACCGTCATGTTTCGCCGCAAGGCTTTCCTGCACTGGTACACCGGGGAAGGCATGGACGAGATGGAGTTCACCGAGGCCGAGAGCAACATGAACGATCTCGTGTCCGAGTACCAGCAGTACCAGGACGCCATGGCCGACGATGAGGAGGAGGAGGAAGAGTACGGCGACGAGGCCGAGGAGAATTAGATACAATCGATCGCATGCGGCTTCCTCATCTTTATTTCTTGCAGTTTGTGATGGCCTTTGTTGCTCTCTTTTTGTCGTCAATCTCTCTGCGCGTTGATTATTGCCCATATATAAGTATAAATTGTATGGCTTCTATTAAGGATGCAATAATCTGATGTTACATTTTGTTTGCAATTTGTGATAATTAATAATATATTATTAATAGTTCTCTATGCTGTTCGATTTGGGTGGCGAACTCTGATTGATGTGAAACATCACCGAATACTAATGCTCATGGATAGCCGAACACTTACGGTCGCTCAACATTTTTTCATCTGTCCATGGCCTTCATGCCTTGAGATCGACTGCCCACACTACACTAATTCATATACACTTCCCCAAAGAACATTCCTTCATTGTTTATGCAGTAAGCCTTATTTCAGATTCAGAAACCATTTGTATAGTTTCTTGTGCATCAGAATCGTCAGCAGCACTACAATGTTTCAAGAGATTGATCTTCATCTATATGATACCAATCCTCTTTCCGTGTTGTGTCATCCACTGATAACATCCATGCAACTTTAGAAATCAAGATTCGTCCAGTGATTTTGCCCAAAGCCTCTGAGATGGAGATGCAGATGCAGAACCATTTCTTCCTTGTGAAAATATCGTATCAAGAGTCCCACAGTTCCTAAGACATTTTACTCATCTCATTGATGAAAAAATAAATATCACATATATATACAGCAAAACAGAAACATGGCAGTTTGGGGGTGTTTGACATAAGAGAGGGACCTGCCAATGGCATGACAGCCAATTTCTTTTCTGATACAATTCCAAAACAAAAAGTCAGGAGCTGGGAGATCTTGCCCAAGCAAAAGATAATATAGCCCATTGCATTTGTGTGAAAATGCAACTCACATGATCGCTCCTGTGGCTGCCAATGTTCCATGGTCAAAATAATTGTACAAGGTCAGCTATCCTCGTCGAGGGCCCCAATGTAGGTGAGGTCTGTTCTCTGCACCCTTACGGTACCCTTGAGCCAGCTGCAAGCCTTGAGATTGGAATGGTCACCACTTGTGCCACCCATGTTGCTGCCACTACTCATGGAAGGAGCAGAACTTGTGCCGTCTTCCAGCAGTGTCCATAGGTCGATTTCCATATCCAGGTCCTGCGAAGCCAAACTCTTGCTTCTGCCGGATGAGCTATTAGAGGCCCGAGAAGGAATGATTCTTTGGTGAGGACCTGGACTTGGTGTGCTGGGCTGCAGCGATGTGAGTGCTGCTGAGGATAACGTCGGGAGGTGGCAAGGAGCAGAAATTGGACGAGAAGGTACAAGCAATGGCATGGCGGCTTGGATACGGCGTCGGATTGTTGCAGGCAACTCCATGCGATCCAAGACATTCTGAAAGAATTAAAGCATGACATTGACATAAATGACTATACGATAAAACTACTCATCAACACGCATCAGATGAATGAGCTATCATTTCCATTGACAAGAAAAGAAAGATATCCATGTCAATAATTGGTTTTATTAGTGAAGAAAATTCAACATAATACATGCCTCTTGATACCCCAGTTACAAAGAAACAATAACAGGGGCACACAGCATGATATTCTGAAAGTCAAACATACCCAACATCCACAAAGAAATTAAAAAAATAAAACCAATGTATATTATACAGAAGAAAGTTATAAAACTATACAAACAAAAAAAAAATCTATATCGTTGAATAGCTAACAGGTAGGCCAAAACTTATTATGACAATGCACTACATGAGGCCCGACTACCAAAGTCAAGCAACCTCCCTATGACCTGCTACATGAACTGTTTGTATTCATAAACCCAAGCCAGGTAACCATCATGCCAACCGATGACAAAAACGGAGGCTAATTATATATTACCCTCTGTAACTAGCAATCTTTAGCAACCTGATCCCTATACTTTCAAAAGTTATATTAAAACTTACGAAAGTGAAACATTTAATATCGTTGCTCCAACAAAACCGCTCTTCTTGATTTTTAACCCTGTGAAATTATCTTTTTAACCCTATATAGGTAACTCAATGTTTTACTTTCGTAAGTATAGGGACCCCAATATAACTTCTGAAAGTATAAGAACCATAATGCTAAGAATAGTTAATTACAGAGATAATATATAATTAGCCCCAAAAACTATGAAATTCTCAATGAACAAACAAAAACACACGCCCACAAAGAAGGGGGAACACAAGACACATTTAATTCAATTGATTTGATTGGAGTAAAAATTGCAAAAGAAAAGAAGAAATTAAATTCCCTGACATAACATAAGCATTAACCAGTGAGAAGTCTTCAGAGCCTAGGAACTCATAAATCCAGAGCCATACAAGAAGTTCAAAATATATTTGTATCGGTTTATAAGCTCCAAGTGTCATGGGAACCATACAAATATAGATATTTTCTTTCCATGTAACTAGTAATTGTTGTCAACAATTGTACTTTGTTACTTCAGTAATTACAAGGACTAATATATGTTTGTAAGAAAATCTTATTGACAACATCATTAATACATAATCTGATGAGAATATCTTATTTAAATCCCCAATAGCAAGAGAAATACAAGTGAAATTACGATAACTACAGATTCGCTAAACAGATTAAGCATATAGTTCAGAATGGTATAGTCATAAATATTCTGCATATTTGTAAAACTAGGAATTGCTATAATTTATTAAATTAGCAAACATTTTTCTCCATAATAATCAAATGTATCATCAAGAACTAACCTGCAAACTCTCTGCCACTTCACGATCAAATGGAGAAAAATCTCGAAGAGATTTGTGTGCTGACTTAGAGACGGGCTTGGGCTTCAGCCAACTTGGCTTATAGCTGCTCAGCAAACCATGCAGAACGGCCAAAAGTCTATCAAACAGACTATCACTAGAATGATTCAACAAGGGAACTTCACTAGAAGACTCAAACTCTCTTTTGGAAGGATCCACATGTATCGGTGAAATGCATAGGTCTGCATCCTCATATATCAAACGTGTGCCAAGTAATCGAAGTATAATAGGAGCAAGCATTTGTCTCATGTTCCTACAAAAAGTTGAAGAAAGATCCATCAGGCTATATATAAAGACAATAGTTGCTCAAAAGCCTCAAATTAGAAAATAAGCAGTTGAAAGATTGTCATTGCTTAAACGAAAGAGAGAAATTAATGGATAGACAATGTGCTTTAAGAATGTATGCCATGCCCGCAGACTTAAGATATATAATGATACAAATAAGACCGCAAAACTGCAGGTCAATTTGAGCCCAATCTCAGCTTTGCTACTGCAAGTAAGCCCAATCTCAGGTGGTTGGAAATGAGCAAGCCGAAAACAAAACCACATAGATAAAACATGTTGATACTAAAAACCCAATCTCAAAACATTTTTCTTCCCCAAACTTAAACACTTTGGTCAGGCTTGAGTTGAACTTGCCAGATCATATGTCCAAGTCAGGTTTGATCAACAGATGATGTCTATTAGCATGGGTTAACCCAATTTTGTCTTATGATTGAAGCCAAATTTACAAAGCATATAATGAGTCAGCTAGTATAGATCAGGATGTGAGCAGTGAAAAATGGAAGGTCACTAATTCCTTGATGTGAGGCGAGATATAGAAGAATGAAAATTCCTTTGGTCTAACAATTTACAAATCTTGAAAAAGTTACAATGAGCCCAAAAGGATGGATCTTAAAATCGCATGGCCCGTTATATACCTAAAATTTTCCACTTAGTCAAGTTTATCTTCACTTAATGCATCAAAGTAGAAAACAGCCAACACAGCCTTCTCAGTAAACAGATTTAACCATGGATCTCTGATATGGATGCAAAATATCAATGTGTTTGACCCAATGTACACGGTTCTAGAAACCATTGTTCTAAAATAGGCTACATAGCCCTCGGTCATGTACCTATCCTGTAACCAATGGTTTAAAATGCCACATTGTACTGCTCGGTATGTCCACTATACATATTCAAACCAGGCCCACTGCAGCTCAACTCAGGTTTCAGCAGGCTCTTACTGTTTTATAATATTTTCTTGGTTCAATCTGAGCAATATGAAGTATCATGCCGACCAAAACATACCAATCGATGCTGGATCGTGTAACATTCAATATTCCTCCCTTCTATATTTATAATATTTAAACATTTAAATAGTTATTCAAGTGTAGTCTAATTTACTACAAGCTGCAAAAACAACTAGACTCAAAAAATTAAGCTCGCACAAGCATATACATATGAAAAACAATTTAAAATCAGGTAACTGATAATGAACATATTGTGCATGTAAATGTGTTCCCATATCATAAGGTAATATATGTCTTCTTATTGTACATAGCCTATCCATGCTAAGAGGTTTACTGACGAAAGTTAGCATAGGTGTTCAAGTGATCACCAGTGACAAAACTGAACAGCCACAAACATACATGAATAGATGCCACCAGAGACCACATAGGAACATAAGTTGCAGCAAGAGAGCACATTAATCCAAAATAAGGCACATGTTGAGAAACTGAGGATATACCAATAACTTATACATGAGACTTAAATCTGTCTAAATGGATGCTTGGCATTTTAGTAGTTACATCATAATATTTTATACATAATACATACACACACACACACACACACACACACACACACACACACACACACACATATATATATATATATATATATATATATATATATATATATATATATATATATATATATATATATATATATATATAGAGAGAGAGAGAGAGAGAGAGAGAGAGAGAGAGAGTAGGTTGGACAATATATGTGGAGATTCAGTGATGGATTCTTATATGTGGGATTTAATGAACAGAACTCTGGACGAATTAGTCAAAAACCCTGGTCATACAATTGTAGGTTCTCATATTGGGACAATTAGATACAAATGCAAGAAGCTTGTAGAACTCTGTTTTTCAGTCTATAGGCATTTTAAAAGGTTGGCACATTTTGAATGGACCATATATGTAAAATAAGGAAGCTTCACATGAGACAAAGTGTGGACTACATGCAATTGGTAGTCGGAAACCCGGGGACCCACTAGCAGGGACCTGCTCATAAAGCAGTTGCCTGCATAACCTATTGCACAGGCTCAAACCTTTATAGTTCATATTTAGCCCAGATTTATTAGTCATTATCTTCGTTCTTTAGTCTCACAATGTGTGGTTCAATTCAGTGACTACACACACACACACACACACACAGCCTAACTATGTTGTGTGTTCACTGTTGGCTCAAATTCTACATGCACAAAACCCAACCCATGAGAAATTGAATAATCAAATTAAAAAACATGGTGGTTGTAGTTAAACAGGATCTAGCCATGTGCAACCATGGTGTTTAAACTTCTTAATAATGTGTTAGATACTCGATCAAAAGACCTCTTTATAATATATTAGATACTCAATAATCGGATAACATAAGAAAAGATTTAGCTCGATCACAAGCATTCTCTTCCTCGACCTTCTGACAATTTAGGTTCAAATTTAAGCTGTGATGGGAGCAATAACAGAGAAGACAAATCGAAACTCGAACAACAACTAAAACATACCAAGCAGGCTGTCTCTTTCTTTTTCCATCACACAATATCCACTTGCTACCATCTTTGTGCTCTCTAATTTCTCGATGTGCCATGTTCTTTAGAAAGAGAGTTCAAATCATGAGACAATTTAATGTCGTGGCTGCACTCTGTCTTATAGAGAACTTAATTTGAAGGTTGTATCCTCTTTTGCTTATTGACTTGGCATTTGGTAATAGTTACTGAAAAGATATTTTGACCCTGAACAGAGGATTGTAGTGCCAATCAGCATGTTGGCACGGATCAAAATTTATTGTGCCAATAAAAAATGTGTTCACCATTCAGTGTTGGAGGTATGGATGTGCTAAGTGACCCTTGTAAAAAATATGGCCCTGTAACTAGGCTCTGTCTCATATAGTCGTTGCCACCTATGATCAATTAACCAGTGGCAGTATTTTAGCCTGATTGTAATCCAAATCTATAAATCACTCTAACAGACTTTAGAGAATCCGAACAAAAACCAGTGATGCACTATTGAATAGGCCATCATGATCCCATGTAGGACAATAGCTAATATTAGCAGAAAATGAATCATTAATTAGCAGCTGATGAGATGAAGGAAACTCATTTTATTAAGCAGATAAGTTGCTAATTCTACAAACAATTTAATATCATAGTTGTGTTCTCAAAGAATTTCTTAACAGAACAATATATCTTGGAGACTAAAGAAACTAGCCTACATTGACACAAAATATTATCAACAGGCAATATCATATGTATCTATACCGTTCTAATTACTGAGACGACTACACTACACCACCTATCATCATATGGTAATCATCAATATAATGAAATTGCCAAAACTAGTCATTAAATACAAAAGACAATAACAATAATAAATTAATCAACCAAACTTTTTTTTTTAACCAAACCTGTTGCTGAATAAGAATAAACTGAGAAATGAATGTAAACAGATTTTTGGACATTGGTAGTTACCTATCCTCATAAATAATAGGAAGCAATCTCAATAGAAATTGCAAACGGAGGCACAATGAAGTTTTTAAAGCGGCAGCAGAAGGAGGGGCAGAATCAGTTGGTCGCCTACCAAGGACAGGGCTTCCACCTCGGATTACTTTACGACTGCTTCCTTTGTTTGAAGAAGGTTCAGGATTCACACTAGATTTACAACCATTGGATGTTACTGTATTAATTTGTTGATCAATAGCTCCCATCTGCTTGATCAACTCAGAGGTAAATAAATTGCGCAACTCATTGGAACTTCGATCTATACATGGCAATATTAGTTCTGCAAGAGCTTTCTCGGTTATATACTGCTGACTAGAACTGCAACCTTCAGCATCCATACTATGGATCACTTTGGAAGATTTCCTAACATCAATGCTCTCATCCACAACCTCCCCTTCTTCGACACAAATGGCTTCAAATTTTCTCTTCTCACCTCTATTAGCGGCTAAATCAGATAGTGAACTTGGCCAACCCCACGGTTTCCAAAACCGTGCTTTAGTTGGGAAGCCTTTCCTCTGAGCAACCGATACAAGTTGTTGCCTTATAGATTTGCGTCCGAGAAGAACATCTGGACCAGCTAAAATCCATTTTGTATCCATAACCAATGATTCTTGAAGTAATTTTCCAAGCAGGTGCACAACTTCCGAATAAAGAGGAGCAGCTTCAGGCCTGGCAAGTATCCTTGTCAGAATAATTTCAGTGAATTTCTTTTCACTTTCAGATAGTGCGAAATTTTCAGCGCTAGGAGATAAGGATCGAATTGCCTCAACAAAGGGCATGTTGTGAGTTTCAATTTTTTCAATAAGAGCTTGCTCATTCAGAAGTAACCTCAACTCTAACCATTGCCAATGGAATTTTGCAGGTTGCAGGGTATCCAAAACGTGTATGAGCTTATCCAAAAGGCTTGCCTCAGTTTCAGCATATGATCTAGGTTCAGCAGGACCTGCAACCCATGATCCATCTTCACGTGCAACTGTAAATGCTGGCATTTTGCCATCAATAAGTGCATTCAGAAACAGCCTTGCACGGAGTGGAACGAATGCCATTGTTTTCAAATGTTTATCTGGATTATGTAATTCAAGCATTGCGGCAAACTCAGAATCACCAGAATCATTGGTCAGAAGATCATAAAAACCATGGGTATTTTGAAAAAACACTTCTCGAAATGGCTTGTGCCTAATAGCATCACCAATGGCCGTTGAAAAACATTGATATAGTAGGATGTCCTCACGGGATGCAATATTGCTATTGAGAATATATGACCTCCAAATGACCATTGCAAAGATCGAATATGCCGGAGGAAAAACCAAACTGAGTGGAAGCAGTTGTTGCATTCTTAAAAGACCTAAAATATATGATTCACCAAGCATCTCTGCAACTAGTCCATCAAAAACTGTCCTGCAGTTCCCAACCAGAAGCCGAAACCAATGCACATAAACCTCAATGCAATAATCAAGCTTCATCATGCCAATAGTACGGGAGATGCCATTTGAACTAGATCTTGCACTTCGTATAAACTGCAGAACATCCAAGCCTTCCTTTAATCTAAAGGCGGTGATCATCCTGTCTAGGCTGCTAACTCCTCGAACAATAGCCCCAAGAACTAGCGCAGATATAGCTGCTGCAGCTTTAGCAGCCTTTCCAACGATGAGTTTTGTAGAATTGTTCAGAAGCTCATTGGAATGGTTTTGATATATTTCGTTAGTTTCAGGTGATAACTGGAATTGATTTCGATGGGCTTTTCCAGGAGCACAGGTTGTCGAAATAGCTGAAGAAGCTTCAGCAGCCAATGCTATCTCAAATACACGGTTCAGACGATCACCAAGAGCATCTTTTAGCAAGCAGAGAGAGGCTATATGAATCTGCAGGATGTGCCTTACACAATTCAGTGAATTTATTGAGGATGGAAAGGCTTGATAATTACTGCTTGTTGTGAAATCAGGCAATTTTACAACAGCTAGTCCTATGCTACCAATGATTGCAGACACAGCAGAAGCCACAACACTGGGATCTCCTTCTATACTTGCACCACCAATTTGCCTGATACATTCCACAAGGCCACAAACGATATCATGAGCTATTTGGTAAACGTCATCCCATTTTTCAGGGGAATGGATTCTGGAAGTAGGAGCTGCAAATAGTTTTCTTTCCTTTCCATAAAAGTAGTGCACAGCTTCCTCAACATGTCGCTGCACTAATTCCTTCATGTTTGTGCCAATTCTAGACATCCTTCCGTTCATCCTCTGACGAATGTGTTCATCAGCATCTGTAATTCCTGCTGAGACTCCTGGAGAAAACATAAATTCACCATCCACCGACCGTCCAGTGTCAAGTTCTGCAAGCACCCTTTGATCACATGTAGCTCGAAAGGATTTTTCCCACTTTGACACATTTGTCACATCTCTATATTTCTTTAATAAGTTGCGAGCATAGGCAAAAGCAACTGACCCATAGGGCCTTCCATTTGATGTTATCGTGGCCAAACTTCGATGAATTGAAGCAGTCAAGGCTTCAGGTAAAAGATCTGCAGCTCGAAGCACATTCTCATACCTGAATCAGGCAAATTTTTCATGCAAAGAAAAGCAAAAAATTAAAAATAAGTAATAAGTATAAGCTCAAACATAAAAATTTGGAGTCGACTTACAAGATAATGGTACAATAATATCAACACAACCAACCCATAAAAATGATGTACCATAATATCAACATAACCAATCCATAAAACCCAATGCACAGTGAACATAATAATATATGGTCATATAAAGAAACTATAGATACTGAAACATTATCAACTATCATGGAAATTTGGTTTTCACTATCATCCATAGATCACACAAAGCAAACAAGATAGGATAACACAATCAGAAAAAAGATACAATTAACAGAAAAAAATTTAAAAAGAGTATAACTCAACTTTATACTACTTAATGATCAAACTACAACAAATTTCAACAAGGGGCAAAAGAATATCAAAAAAACTCAGAAGCAAACAAATCACCAACAAAGGACATACCTTTGAAGGGAAGAAAATAGAAATGCTTCCCCAACCTGGCAGACTTGGAATTCTCTACTTTTGGGAAATACGGCATTCCTTACACCCTGCACAACAATGCTTGGTCCACAAAGTACTTTGGGTATCAACCATATCAAGAACTTTATTGCTGAAATGAAGTCACCAGAAATATCCAATACATAAAGAATGAATAAAATTTCATCTTCGCCTAGCTTCCACCTTGCAGCATTTCTGTCATCAGGCTGTGGTACAGAATAAACATCAGTACAGTTGCTCACTTTCGAAGCAGCTTTTTCATTTCCTTCAACAAGTTGCCTAATCGATTTCAACAACCAGATTGAGATGGATCTCCTCTCAAGCAATCTTAGTTGCTTCAAAGCCTTACCAATATCACTTTGGTTTCCTGATATCATCTGGTTGGCCTCCTTAGGTACTTCGCTATCAGTAACAGGTCTGTGGTGGGGACAACTCACCTTGTTATCACATACATGGCTGGTAGATGCCCCCTGGCTACTCTCAATCCTTGCAGCTGCTAACTGAGCTAGAGACTGTGTTTTCCGCACAGTCTTCTGCCTACCTCTCGAAGCAGGTTTAGCTGGTTTAAGTGGCAGTTCAACCTTGAAGGATTCTTGAGACTTAGATCCCTTCTTCACCCACCAAGTATCTTCATCATCTGAATGACTCGAGGAAAACCCTTCTGGAGCAGAGCTCCTATCATCAACTAGCTTTTGCCACTTCCCTTTTCTACATTCCTCACAGCCAGGTGTCTCCTCTGTCAAATCAACTTTGCTTTCTAAAGAGCCTGGTGTTCTTTTTGAAATTCCTTGAGAATCATCAAGACATGTTTCCATTGGCATGGCAAAATGAAGAGAAAAACGCAAAAAACGAGAAATTAAAACCTTCAGCTGTGTAATTTGATCCTTTGTCTTAGCATGACCAGGAGATGAAGAATCTATATATTTTTGCACAGAAAAAACTGAACAAACATCACCTCTACTGCTTGACTGATTGGATTTACCACCCAGAAGTCCACGAAGTAAGAGCCGACGCTCATTTGAGTACGCATGGACAAATTCATATAACAAATGGACTTCTGTAGTTCTTGCTTCTTCTAGAACATCAAATAAACACGATCCAGGCAGCTGCTGCAGAATTCTTCGATGCCTTCTTTGCCTTTCCATATCTAACAAGCTCTCATTTTTATCCATAATTCCACTAGCAATTAGCTGCCTTACATAAGCATGTGGAAAGAAAATGCCATTCCTTATTGTTTCCACTAGGAAAATTTCCACACACCTGAAACTTCCCGCTTTCCCTATCTCATGCTGGTCTAGCCAACACACAACAATGTCGTGTAGTGGACCAGGACCTTGAAAGATCTCTCTTTTATTCTTCCTATCATGCAAGCTCCTTGAATTATTTCTAGGAACAGAAACATTTTCTACTACTGCGCCATCCAACAAAGTATCATTATCAGAGCTAGTTTTTCCACTTGTACCAAACAGCAAGATATTTCCATCACTAGACTGAGTTAAGCTAAGCAAATCTTCCATCTTAAGCTTTAAAAGCAATACTGCAAAATATATTTGTGAAAATTCTTTCCTTCCAGTCAATTTGAGATCATTAGGCAAGGAAGTACGGAAATTTCGATAATCACAAGTAGCCCACTCACAAAGAAAAAATATGGAGCAAATAAGAGACAAACCAATAGTCCCAATCCACTTCAAGGATGACCTCAGACATGGACTGATTTCTGCAATCCACCGCTCTTCGACAGCCACATCAGACAAATCTTCAAAGAGAGAATTATAAGCAATCATTACATTTCCTGTTATCAAAGCTCTATCCAAGGCCAGTAAAACCTTAGCAGCACCATGAGCTTGAAGGCTAGGGTTTACAATGTTTGAGAGATTGGAAGCACGTTTCTGGATAGAGGAAACAACATACCCGCACGACAAGTAACGAAGATAAGCATCTCGTGTATCAAACTGCACATTATCTACACACTCAGGTAACTTCAAAAATGTGTTTCTATAGCGTAAATCAGGAACAACATTGGATGACAGAGGAAAGCAATCTAAGGCAACAAAAGTATCAGGCACAGCAACTATCAAATACCGGACAACCCCAACCATTGCATCCACAAGGGATAACTTTTGAGAAGTATCCACCGAACTCAAAATACTGGAAGAAGGATCCTGTACTTTTTGAACAAAGAGGTCCATAAACATGCGTACGTAGGTCTGTGAGAGTGCAACACTCTCAATCATGTCAACCAGAAGAGGCAAAAGCAACTCAAAAGCCTCTAGTGATTCCTTCTCCTGAACGAATAGATTAAACAAGTATAAATTTGAGCCACTTCAATATCTATTGTTGTTTCAATTGTTTTTCCCAAACAAGGAGTTCAATTACCTGAAGTTGATTGAAAATCATCTCTATGATGGGAGAGGGAAGAAGTAAACCTTCTGCAAGATGCCACTGTACAAGGTGACACATATACCACCACTTGAAGTCCAGAGAAGGCTCCTCATCAGGAGTAGACGAGGAAGAGTCATTTTTCTGTGGTGTTAGATAAGGTACAACCATAGTACTTTGTGATGACTGATTCTTGTTAGGTGTAGGAATATTAGAACCATCTTTTGGAAAAATTTCATCCAAGAGCTGCTGCAAGTACTCAACGACATCTTTAGACAACAAGTCAGATCGAGCAAATTGTGCTTTGTCTGATGGAACACTCGTTGAGGCTGGTCGAACCTGAAAAAGATATCTCAATGATATGAATATGGGCACTGAAAATGGCAGCACGGCAAACAACATAACCTATATATATATTTATGTCTTAGAATAGTTATCAACCTGGTTAAGATAGTTAACTTTGATAAACCATGCTGCTCTTATTAATGGAACATTATGGCGGATAAGAACTTCAAAGAGCGCTTTCCGTCTGTAACCATGTGGGACATGTTCTGCCAAGGACCGCAACTGTTTATTCTGTTGCGACAAAGCCTGCTTACAAAATGTGGGAGGTCAGAACTATTATATCCAATAAAGGAAAATACACAAAAGATGCTTAAAAATGAATGATGAGAAGTGAAAAAAGTACAGAAATAAAGTAGCATGTAAGACAGCAACTAATCGTCAGGGAGCATAAAATGTCAACTTCAGATAATAACTAACACAAAGATATCTATATCTAATATCAGTATGATTAAAAATATATATTATCCCAGACTCAATTAAGTAAACGGAAAAAGCCTACATTTCATTGTCAGGATGTTGGCAAACGAAAGGAACAACCTAATTCATACATCAAACAAAACCATCAACCAATACATCTAGGTGCTTTAGTGTGCTAGGATCATGAGAAATGAACAAACACCCTATAATTATGCTTATGTTCTCTGAAATCAAAACTTAAAACCTGTATTGAATGATTAATTTGGCACAAATAAGTTAAAAAGGCACAAAATTCAACAAAATGAACAATAGTAACAAGAATAATGCAGTATCAACAATCATCATAAACCTCAATCCATCTCCTGCGTGCATCTTCATTACATGGCTTTTGCTCAGGAAAGACACCAGCTTTAGTTAACAGTTGCCCAGAAAGAGGCACTCCATAAGCCTGGCCAGCCTGTTGTAAAATCAGAAAAACAAGGAAGGCTTAACAGTGTACTGCAGAATACAGCTTGTCCTGCAAGTAAATAGCAACTGAAACAACAGCCATTACATCAGTATCATGTAAGAAAAACATAAGCAATTACCTTACGCTTCTGAGCACGAGATTCATTGATAACCCTCAGGCGCTTTCGTAATGCCTTCAAAGAAGCAAGAGTACCGTCAGTTTAAAACACATCTTTGACCAAGAGCATGGGCACAATTGTCATATACTACTTTAAAATAAGCAATAGAAACAAGTCAAAAGTACCCCTTCTTGGATTAAAGACAAGGCAGAAATCCACTGCCAAAGACATGAATTTAAGTTTCTGAGTCCCTGACCATGACAGAACATGCCTCATTTGATGAGAAACTGAGGTCCATGTACATTGTATTAATGATAAAAAACAATTGAAACAAAAGAGCTCTGAGATGTTCAGGAGCAATGTACCCGCTTACTCTGACACATTTCAAAGTGGAACAATGTGAAATCACTGTTCTCAGCATCAAGAGCCACCAGCTATTCTATCACTTGTTACCAATAAAAACAAAAAAGCAACAACCCTAGCAAATATAACATATCAGAGAGGAGAAGTATAATATCAAATCTAGTAGAAGATTGTTCCACTCCTCTACATCTAAATGACTAAAAAATAAGGCTCTAATTTCTACTTTCTAGAAACTTTGCAGATCGCAGCTTCTCACAATTGCCTGGCACTGAGCATCAAAAGGACAACTTGTCAACATTTTGTATGGGTCACATAATTGATCTTTATCTCAATATTATTCTAGCAAATGTTTTTCTTATTTAATTATACATCCATTGATCTTTTCCTCAATTGTTTGTATACATGATAGCAATCCCTATTGTGTAACAGGGATGGGTGAGAGTGAAAGAGGGGAAGGGGAGAGGGAGAGGCTTTTATAAGACCAAAAAAGCCACCAACAGCCAAATAGAGGGGAGAGGGAGGGGCTTTTATAAACCCAAAATTGACCATTGGGGGCTGGTGTGCATCGAATTCACATCGGTATGGTCAAATTGATCAATAATCATCAACCGCATATACTTGAGGTGTACCGACTAGTTCTTATTAGTTATTACCTTCCTTGCATACCGACCGAAACAAGTTGGTTGGTCAACTGCCAGATCGATACGCATACTACCTATTTCATACTGTTTTGAGTGGTATGGCAATCTATGACTTCAAACAAGTTCTCATAAAATAAATTTGTGTTTTAAATTTTAGGACTAACCACATTGGTTCTTTTAAGTTTGTCTATGTATTAGTATGTTAAAAGCTTGTAACTTAAGTAAAACCCTCATTCTATTGTATGTGTTTTTATCACATACGCCACTCAAATTCATTATTTATGTATTAGTCCCTCAGTGTTGGCTACTTATATAACTTGTAGGTCCATTTTTCCCTATAACCTGGTTATGTATATTCCAGAAGAAAACAAAGCGACGTGTTTATTTAACTAAAGAATTTGTCTTTCTGACTCACCAATTTTGACACCTCTCTTATGTAAAACAGAGATATATAATATAATATAATAAGTCCACAAGAAATTGTTGTGTAGTGTTAGTGTATGCTCCTGTTATATTAATTATATAATTAATACATGCAGAAATATTTGTTGCATTGACAAATTAATAATATAAATTATTAGAACCGCCTTACCTATGTTATTCAATTATAACACCGATGGTGCCATTATATTTCATATATACATTAGTATTCCGAAATGAAAAATAATTAATTATTTGACATTTTAATCCCTATGATTTTTTATTTGCATTAATGCATTTGTATATACATGCCATCTAATATATGCATCGGTCACACATACATAGGTATATCTAGAATCTGTGTACACACAAGCATATATACGTATATACATACATGCACAAGAAATGTTCATAAAATATAACTGCCATATGTAGGCATAATTAATATACAATAGTTACTATATATCAGCATATATAACACATTTTTTAGTGACTCAATTATATAGAACTAATGACTACATATTTTGACCAAAAGTACTGGAGACATATAGGCACCGCCCTACGATAGTCTCATCTTCCCTTCCTCAACATAGCTCCATGTATCAACACTACACCTCCACTAGATAACCACAGAGCCACCATGGATCCATTGGGAGAGACAGGTAGCCAAAGAATGCAAGCCTTTTTTCCTTTCTTTTACTCTTATTCCAAATTTGTGCCTCCAGTATACCAATGTTAGTGAGGCACATAAACATGGTTCACCTTACCGATCCATACCGATATACCGACCAGTTGTCGGTATGGTACATACCGAACTATACTAAGTCATACCGAGCATACAGACACACGGTACATGGGGGCATACCGATATACGATGCCATACCAATCCTTTGTCGGACCGCTACATACCACCCATATCGAGCGGTATGTAGCGATACGACGAACCTTCCACATAAATGCTAAGAAAGGACATAACATACGCGGACAGCCTAGACCATTTAAGATAATCCTTAACTAAGATACATGAAGAGGTGAACCAACATGAAAATCGACCTACGGTGAAGCTCCATGCAAAATATCTCCCCATTACTCCCAAACAATTTAATTCTCACAAAAACAGCATAAGAGGACCACATAGTCATGAGGAAACCTTTCTTGTGGTTTTGACAATAGAAATAAAATGGCAAGGACACCCCTTCAACTACCAACAAAGCATCATGTTAACATTGTAGACCAAGTTAACTGATATGTGATACAGCTGAACAGAATCAATATGAAGGAATGGCTAAAGAATTTGTTCCTGAAATTTCAACTTACAAGTAACAAACCATTAAGGGAATCAAATCTGAGCAATATATTATAGACAAAAAAACTGGTCACTGCATATACAAAAGAACTGGAATTGGATTCACAACTATGTCCAGATTCCCTGGTAGTTTATACAAGGTTTTTCAAGTAATAACCATCTCTGGTGCACTAGACTGATGTAAAATAGTTTAACTAGATAAACTGGGGAGTGCTTCCACATCACTTTGTCGAAATCCCAGTCAAACCCCAAAACATTTAGAAAAGGTAAAATAAAATTTGGAGACGATTTCCTATATTCTTTAAGCTACAGTAGGTGGGCAGGTACTCAAAAAAAATGATACTGTCAGAAGTGGCTGGTTGGTGTTAGGAAAGTCGCTTGACCATCAATGGGTTAAGTGTCAACTAGGTGTTTAACAAAGAGGGTATAACAAGGATTTCCCATACAAGTTTACCTGAACTGATACAAAGTCATGCTTAAGTACAAGAAACAGAATCCCAAATGTAGTTAGCTGTAGGTTGAATTATTATAGGTTGACTTAGTCAAAAGGCTTGTACTTGGTAGTCTAAAATTTGATACTAGCTTTTAAAGAATATGAGCACTGCTGCTCCATATTGATGACACCAGATATTGATTAGTTACTCCATATACCACAGATATAGACAATGTGCAATTGGCTAAACCAAGCCATCTGCCCACTCACAGCTTACCTTAAGCACTCTAAAAAATTAAGCATATACATCATTGGAATAGAAAGAGGATTTACAAAAGTGATCTGGGTCACAGAGTGATCTGGAACATCAGACAAAGAACAGTATTTTATAAAGCCAACAGTTATAAACCAAATACCATTCATCATGGAAATCACATGTATCACAAGTTAAAATTATATCAAATAATTATATCTTCACCTCTTTAAACTTTAAGATGTGCTCGAATTTTGAGAAACTGAGACCTTGAGTTAATGCAATTTCTCGGGCTTCCTGACACATTAAGAGACACAAAATATTATTCCATAAATCATCAAAATCATGTCCCTAATGTTAGCTCAACGATAATTAGAAGAATGGATTATGTATATGTCCTAAAGAACTCAATATAAACAGGAAGGACATATGTAAAGTAAATTCAAAATTGGAACCAATTTGACTTAGCAAATGAATCAAGATCAGATATGGAATGAAGGTCATATACCTAAGAATTCAGTTAAAATTGCACAAAAATAAATCAATATTTAAAGTGGAAACTCGAACTAGCGTTTGCATATCCTGAACATAAAACACAGAAAAGCTTTCAAGTGTGTGAAGTATTTGGAGTCTCCAGTTACATTCTTCGCAATAAATAGAGAGTAAATATGTAAAGTCGATGAAACCTTGTTATAGTTTTCTTCTAAACATTTACAAAAGCCTTAGCGACCATTGTGCATAAAGCATAAAGGGTTCCAACCCATATACACATTAAAAAAAAGGACTAAGAAATGCTCTGAAACAAACTCATTCTCACATTAAAAAAATTATGCGCAGTTGGAGTGCTCATAAGCAAAACTTGTAGAAATTTACGAGCAAATGCCTATGCCTCAAGAGCACTAAAGATTAGAAAATCTGAGACAAATAATACAAGAACTAAGAAGCCATCCAAGGACATCCATCTTGCATAAGAACAGCGTTTTGTATTCAAACAACATAATCTTACCTCTCCTCAAGAATTAAGATAAACAAAGGAGTCAACCCCCTACAACCTGACTTCAGTCAAGCCCAAAAACTAGAAAAATAAACAAATATAAAAAGATAAAATCACACCCCCTCGCCAAAAGCATTTCCAAATTACCCTAGATGTCAAATAGCATAAAGGTCCCATTGACTGCATGAGTTCCCTATATAATAAGTACAAAGGTAAAACAGTGTAACAATTAAGAAAAACAAGAATATAATAATAATAAGCAAATATAAGGAAATTGCTAAAGGAGCAAAAAACAAGATGATGAGAAACACACCTCAATTCCTTCAACAGTCTCCTTGTATCCAGACTGTAGATATTCTCTAGTTAGTGTCTCTTCAGGACAGTTGGGGGTTTGGGGGTAGAAGTCAGGAGGCCCAAGGCTAGGAAACATAAGATAGTATTAAAAATGTAATGCAACTACACATCAATTGTAAAGGAAAATGATATGAGTACACCAGGCATAGAAGTTATATGTAGAAACGTCTAGGAAAGACCCTGAATGTTGATAATAGCTTTCTTTTGTTGTTAGCGTGTTAGCAGCTAAGGAACCCAAAAAGAGTTGAGGCTTTCAATGGAGCTAAGAGGCACATATTCATGTGAATATGCAGGACTTTATACAGCAAACATGAAAAAAGGAAAAGCACTAGACCACCCCAACAAACAAAACACTTTGACTTCAGCTGAGAGCACAAAATTTACCGGCTGTTAAGAGGTTCTTTATCACACTTCAGCTTGTAAGATGGTACCTGGGACTGTCGCCTAAAAATGGAAATAAAGAAACAAATAAATAAGCAGATGAAGAAAATAGGATAAATTAGCTGAAAGGCAGAAACCAACTTCTTTAATTAAAAACAAAAAAAAAGATCTGTAACTATTAATCGCAATCAACTAGGTAGCAGATACTAAATGGGCTTGCATCAAGCTATGAAGCATAGATGCAGATCCAAGATACCATACAACAAGACACAGTCATGAGCACAGATCAAAACTCAGAAAAGATAGAACACAAGACGGCATGGATACATCAAAAACAAATATCTAGGTATATAAATATTATATCAAGATTGGCAATTTCAATACGTAATATATAAACATTAAATACTACGGATGATGATCAACAATTTACTCTGTGCTAGAATAGATAGGTAATATATAAAATTCATGATGAACAATGTTTTACTAGCATCTCTAATCTCTTTATTAGAAACATTACTTTTAGTAGCATATATATCAAACATATCAAGAAGGCAAGAAGATCATATGAGTAAGTGTAATCACATCAAGTAAATGTCATATTTAAATACATGAGAGAAGAGAGTATAAGGTGCAAATAATAAGATAAGAAAAAGGCTGAAGATGACAGAGTGTTAATAGTGAGAACCTAGATGACCAATAAAATGAAATCTTAATTATGTAACAAAAAAGCATTTCTGATAGGTAAACATCATTAGGCTCAGGTTATTCACACAACCTTTCAACAATTTTCAATTCCTAGAAGCCAACAATGAGATAATTAATCATAATTAATAAATAATAATAATGATCAACAATAGGCACAAGTACAAAAATAAACTTGAATTTATTTAAAAGACCGCACAAGGTACTTTCCATGAATTAATATGACCAATAGAATATGCAAGAAACATCCTCAAATGTGTGGTTGCTGTAATTACTTTAATCATGATTGATCGATTGATCATATTTGTAATTCACTTTGAAGTGTAAAAATTTGGCTGACATATAGATGTATATGATCATCATGGAAGTTTTCGTGCACTAGGGAAATTCCCATTACTAGGCTACCAGAGACTGCAGTAACAAGGTTTTGATTAGAAGCTTCACGGGGAATAGGAACCAAAACATCAAAATGCTCATGATCACAAATATGTTTTTTCACAAATGCAAGTGGATATTAAGTACCGAACATTCTGGGAGGGCTTGTCTCCAACATGCAACAAAACAAAATTATATCAGTTAGCAGCAGCCTTCTTTTACCCATTTTCCATGATTTTTGTAATTTTCTTTCATGTAAACTACATTATATTGGTGTTGAACACTCAAGAAGACAAATATTTCATCTAAAAGAGACCACCTAGAACAAATTTTATTTGCAAATGAAAATATCACCTACGAAGACCGCTTGTGAAAACTATATAACATCTGTTAACTGAAATACATATAGTATACCAGAGAGACTGAAATAATGGCTTTTATATAATAAACAAAGCACCTAACTGGGAACACAAAAAAAAATTATTAACCTTGAATTTAAGGAAAAGTTGGATGCTGAATAAGATGATTCAACCCTAGCATTCTCTCTTGAAGATGCCCCACCAACAGCACTGTTACTAACTCCACCACCACAGCTGGCAGCAGAATATCGCTGCTGCATTTCTCCTCACGGTCACCGGCATACTGCATCCAACATCACTGCAGACATGAGAAACGCATACCACAATCCACTTCGGAGTGTTACCACAGTTATGTCTACCGATGAGTCATCTAGCTGGAGCTTGATACATTGTAGCAAAACATGCTCAAATGAGTGATTCCGTATTTCAGATTGACATTATATTGACTGGGATGTCATTTAGGGAACCTAATTTCCCTATTTTATGGAGTTCTCAGTCGTAGTCACTCTCTGGATCGATTAGGAAGAAACCCACTGTCAAAATGCTTATTGTCTAGTCTACCTTGTCCACAAGATCATGACAGAGCACACCTTGCTTACAGCATCTGATTGCATTCACCAACAAATTACAGTTAGGACATTCTGTCTCTCTTCCATCCAAGCATAAGAAACTAAATGAGCCCACAGTGAGCGAACTGTGGAATATATATCACACAGAATGAAGTCACTGTAGCACTACAGCCAACAGCAGTCAAGCTACCAAATGCATCCCACAAACTTTAACCGTTGAAGCGAAGAGGACTTCTTCTTTCGCAAAGGTGACAGCTTTCTGCAGATCACTGCAAGATATATAAACCAACTGCCATTTAATGAGTGCACTACTGGCATATTCATAGTTTCGATAGCAAAAAAGATCCATCTTTAGCTGAATCCTAAGTTCCCGAAAAATGACAAATAAAACACAACAGCAAGCAAGCTAAATGTTTGCGATCAGCGCTACGAGGCGAATTGATCACCTTAAAACCTAGTTCAACAAAAAAAAGTATATATGAGCCAACCATGATTCCAGAAAAGTCGCATCCAACCAAGAACCCACGTCAAACAAACCTTCCAAGAAAAGCAAGAATCACAAGCGAAAAGAAGAATAACCGCCGAACCCATCGACCCAACAGGCAGAAAAGGAGCGTCACGAGCAAACTCCAAAACCAGCTGAAACAAACCCACTCCGATTCCTCCAAACCCGGACCCCAGATCCGGAACTCCCCTCGACTAACCCCCCGGATCAAAGCAAGACCGACCCAGGGTTTAAGCGCCCCCGGGACCCTCCCAGAAAAAGACCCCACGACGAGAAAGGAAAGATTTGAAGAAAATCTCACCCGACTGCACACCCCGGAGTTAGGGTTCCAACCCGCCCTCGCCTGGAAGCAAACCATCCAAGATCCGGAGCTAGGGTTCCGCCCCCAAATCTCCAAATCCCTAGAACAACCAACGAATTCAATAACCGATACGAAATCTTCGATACAGAGGAGGGTCTGATAGAGAGAGAGAGAGGGCGCGATCTTCAGGAAGAAAACAGCGGGAGAGCGAGAGAAGGGGGCGGGGAGAAGAAGGGGGTAGAGAAGGTAAAGTGTTTGACTCACCTTCTCTTTTACGGATGATGACGACGGATGAGTGGAACATAAGAGAGAGAGGCTCGAAACGAATATATTAATATGTTTTGTCTATACAATAACAATTCATTAAAGAGAGGGCGGTGATATTAACGTTAATATATATATATATATATATATGCCTTCTATTGCTAAGATTGGCAGTAAAGTTTGTGTGTGCGTGTGGGTGATGACAGATTCTGCATTATTTCTAATCCTTGCTTGCTGACGTAATTATCTCAGTGTCTGAGTTCTTTTGGTGCAAAATGTGGGGGAAAAAAATAATATTTTTACATACTCATAATTTTTATTTTTCACATATTCTTCCTATTATTGTCCAAGAATTTTGATATATTTGACTATTGATAATAAGGCCTCATATCAAATCATACTTTTATTAGTACTTCAACCCAGCCAAAGAATTAAATGGAAAAAATTAATAGTAAAATATGTTTTAATCAAAATTGATGATGGTCAATTTATATTATGAATTTTTATGTATTATCTATTTTTCCTGGGTTGAAACTCTAATTTATCTGAATATTTATGATAGCCAAATAAATATATATGAATATTTATATATTCTCCATTTGGCTTGGGTTGAAACTTTAATTTATATTATTATTTTTTTACTTATCATCATGAGAAGAATATTAGGAGCATTTTTTATATTGTTTTACTTGAAATAGTTAGTACCAACCACACCTACAAGTGTTTTTTTAGGCCCTATGGATTGTGATATAATATTTATCTGCTTAATATTATTTTTTTTGTTAACTATTATCAATCATGATGATCAATTAGTAGCTGAATCTAAAATATACATCACACAAAAAAATGTTTGAAACACCTTTAAATTGCACCTTTAATCTTTTTTACCATAACAATTATTCCAAAGCATATCGATGTTAATTATGATTTAAAACATATATCGTGATCGAATGATTGATGTTAATTTAATTTTTTAATTTGATATTTGTGTCGAGGGTATTTAAGTTTTTTTATTATCGAGTTTGATCTCGATGTATTGATTTAGAAAAAATATTTTAAAATTAATTATTTAAACTCATGAAATTAATAAATTAGTTATATCATACGATTGAATCATGACATATACTCTAATGTTTCACTTGTTGCTGTGTGACATGATCTGTGATGACTTCACTGGCTATGCTGATTTCCTAGCGAAGTGTTATCCAAAATAGTCGACATGAGGTGATTTATCAGTGTCATATGAAGTTGTTGTTGGCTTTTCCTTTCAAATCTTACTTGTTTAATCATTCTACTTATAATAACAAGATAAAGATTAGAATATTCGGGTCAATCCTTATCGCTTAATCATGCACCGATATATAATTAATGAACTGTTGCATCGACCCCATGATTGGAAGTGTTTCTGCTATTAAGAAAGTATAAGCAATGAGACTTACCAACCAATAGTAACGTATGGAATGACATGGTTATCATCACCTTCCTAAAGTTTCACTAATCATCATATGAACCAATGGTTTTTTCCCTTTTATAAAAGCGTACAAAACATAATTTAAATGAATTATGTTTCATATCATCTTCTTCTACTCGAGTGTGTAAATCGAGTAGTACTAATGCACCAAATTCTTCTTCTGTGCCTCATTAACATACTACAAATGATATTAGTAATAATAGTTATTAGATTCGTTGTTAACATATGAGGCGGCTTAATGACACGATGATGTGCCTATTCAATGACACTAATATTAATTACTATTCTTTTATATACTTTCTTGTTAAGATGTGAGATAGAACAATAACAAGGAATTATTTATTAAACGGATCGGGTAGATCCGGATAAAAAAGGATCTGATCCGCTGCAATCCCTACGAATCGGATCCGCCATAAGTTACAATCGCCGGCTCTTAAGCAGGAACGAGGCGTGGGGCTTCAAAAGCGCATCGCCGTCTCCTCGGGTTCGTTATATGATCGGGCGCCAGCCATGGCAATCCTCCGCGCCGCTACGGCGATCTCCGTCGTCTCTACGAACGGCGAGCCCATCGATCTGGTGCGATCTTCTTCGTCTTTTGCATGCATCCGCGCTTCCTCCTCCTCTGTTTTTCTCTGATGTGTTTTTCTTGTATGGTGTGTCGCGATTAGGGCGCGAGAGAAGTTTAAACGTTTGAAGCCTTGCGCCTCCTCGTTCTCGCTGATGGCTACAGATCCACCGAACCGACGCTGACACCTCTCTTCAGAGCATAGGTCCCCTTCTTGTTCCGTACTCTCGATGTTTCTTTTTGTAATCTGACAGAGAGACTGCCTATTAGAATGTTTCAATGTTACTTTACGAAAATTATACAAAGAATTACATCGATTAGTCCTCAGTTTCGTTGCTCGGGTGAACCCAATAGGGATATGATTATACTGGCGCCTCTGGGGATTGGAAGAAGTGGGAATCAATCGTTGAAATAGTGTTGGGATTGTTAAGAAAATATATTAAGATCATATCTCATCTAACGCCTTAAGCTTTTAGATTCAATGATATCAAAGGGAAAGGAGTGTTCAATTCTTGTTCAGGCTATGCTTATAAAACAAAATTGAAGAACAAAATTAAGATCATGTCTCATCTAACGACTTAAGATTTTTAGATGCAATGGCTTTGTTAAAAAAAATTAAGAGGGATGCCATAATTGATGTTGGTGCTCGGCATCTCTCATACGTCTTGATGGTCAATAGTGCTTCTCAAAGATCTCAGAAGCCAGTATTGGCACTTATATCTGTTTTCTATTTTGTTAACTCATGCTACTTTGGCTGCTGCCGTGTTTCATTTCAAGCCGCAACGCTGGATTCTCTATTTGGTTGTTTGCTTCATGTTACTGATCCGATATCATCAGCTTTGGTCATCTTTAAAAACAAGTAATTTGTCTCATAAGTTATCTTTCATGATGATTGAATTGATAAAGTCTCTATGTGATATTCCTAATGGCAAATTACGGAAACTATGATGAGACAATTACTAATTATGTAAGCAGTTTTTTATCCTTGAGTTCTTGAATCCTCTTTGGTGCTACCTCTTTCCTTTCATTTTTCTTTTTTAACCACAGGAGTAATCCCAGGTCTACTTTTACTGTCCTCTTTCTTATATCAATCAGTAGGAATTACATCATCTGCAACTGAGAGATATAGCCATAAATTCTCTTTAGAACTGTTCATTCGCCATATACCTGTTTCATGTCAGTAGGAAGTAGTGGCAACCATGTTCACCCTTAATTTAAGTCCAGTGGGGCTTTTCTCCTTTGATGATTCATTGACTTCACGGCCATATCTCTTAAATGTGTCATTTAAGATGATGAATGCATCAGCAAGAGAAAAAAGAAACAACTAGAATATTAGATTGTATATTTTGTTTCTTGGCTATGTTAAAAGAGCATGTCCACCTGTTAAATTCGTAGTGGTGTTTTCCTTAACAAGTATATGTGGAACTTGCCTCAAGCCACTGTTCAATGTTCTTTTCTAAATTCTCCATATAAATTCAGCAATTTTTTTTAGGAGTCCGAGATGACAGTAAGAGATATGCTCACATAGAATTTATGGCATCAAATTGCATTTTTTTTTAAAGAAGAGTTAAGTAAAGCTTAAAGGCTTTCATTTGGTGGCATATGACAAAGGAAGAATGCAGTTTTATATGGACAACGAGCCCTTCTGCAGCTTTCTGGGGATCCGCATAAGTTCTTAGCGGTGACCTTTACATTTAGCTATCCCTTGGTACTGATAGGCTACCTTTAGCTATAAATAAACCAGTACATAAATTGGTGGAACTTCGAATCCTCGCAAGCCTAGGATGAATGGGGTGAGGTGACAGAAAACCTTAGTTGGGTAGTGCAATTATAATCGACCTTAGGAGTGAGAGGCCCCTGCAAGGGCACTAGTATGAACTTTATCTAATGCTGTTTAGTGACTGAATTGCTGGTCATGTACAGCTATCCTTATGGTTCTCCGCTTGAGCCAACTTACTGACCCCTTTATTATATCTTGAGTTAGTCTCAAGTTGCAAATCAATAGTCCTTATAGATTTGATGTTCACAATATAAGCAATATAAGCTGATTTTTGGTCTTCTTCCATAATAACAGACCTTAACTTGAGTTTAATTCTTCCTCCGAGAGGTGCAAAGAGGATTTAAAAGGAACTACTGCTGGAAGCTCTAGATTTTATGTGATGCATAAGCTATACTCTGCTGAAGGAATTTGAGACTCTTGGTGGTAGTACATAACAGACTTTCTGGAATTAGATCGCTTACCTGGTTCTTGTTCCTTTATTATTATTATTGTTTTGTTGAAGCTGAGATAGTCCCATGACTAGTTAAAATATTTTCAGTTGATCAAGGTCCGTGCTTTGCTAACGTCACAGGAGTACCCAAGAAAAGGCCAAGCTGGCTCCACTGAACCTTTCAAAGTGCAAAAAGGAGCAATGATACGGGTAAGCAGCATGAAGAGCCTCTTAAAAAATAATAATAAAAAAACATCAAGTGCCTCTTTTATATTAAAGCTTCCCATGCTTACATTTTGTGGTCATGTTTATTTAGTCGCTTTTCTTTCTAAAATTACAATATACTCATCCAATTAGTCTTTTCCAACATTGAATAATCTTGTCATTAGTGATCTTAGCATGTTTGCTGGACCAAATTAATTCACTTGAGCATTGCACGTATATTTCAGTGGATAATGCTAGCCTAATTTGCTTTCTTTCCAGAACCGTACAGTATAAGACAACTTTTTTTTAGTTTATCTTGTTCTAGTATCACTCACTGATTGCAAGCCGACATTCAAAACTGGCAATTTTAATTTTTTTTTAGGGAATCAAAATTGAACTACACAAGGTTGGTTCCGGTTCTGATTCTGGTTTCGACGATTTTGGTTCCATTTCAAATCGTCGATTTTTTTAATTTTTAATTAAAAAGTTTTTTTAAATCATAATTTTATTTGTAAGATTTGATGGTTATATTATTTTGAAAAGGGGATGTATTGATGTAATGAGATGAATGATATAAAAAATTATTATAAAACTCATAAGATTATAGAATTTGTCCTTACATAGTTCAAACAATCGGTGGACTATTGAACTTTGAACGATCGGTTTAAATAGCCCCACATGATCAGTCAAAAGGGCATTGACCTTTTTTTTTTTTTGAGATTTAAAATCATCATTTCGAATTGAAATTGAACTGTCTAGGCTCGATTTGAAACCGGTAAATTGTCGGACTAATTCATTTCTAGTTTGAACTGCTGGAAATGGGAATTGAACCGCTGAAAATTGATTCCCATTCGATTTGTAATTGGTAAGTTAGTGGGCGATTTGATTTTGATTTGTGTTCGGTTTGGTTCCAGTTGGAATAGAATCAGGATTCTGATGCAAAATATCAACGGCTCACTTTTGGTTTGGTGAAACCTCCGGTGTCATGTATGACATAGCACTTTGAGTTAATATGACCCTTTATTTTTAAGAGAACAAGTCAAGATTAGAACAGGTTTGTGGAGTTCAAGTGGCTAGAGGTGTATTTATGGCCCTCTAGCTTTGCTATTCTAGAGATAGTTTCCTCGTAGGTTGGGGATGGCATGGCTGCCGACCTTTAGTCTCTACGGTGAAAACTCCACCACGATATGAATGCTAGTGTAATTGTTCTACCTACGAACAATTAGATGGTGCGGTAGTTGTGCAGAGTGGTTTGGACATTTAATGCACTCCCATTGTTTTCTTCAGTTTCCCTGGTCCTCTTATGTGCATTATTTTTTTCCCCTTTATGTGCATGATAAGCTCCTATACTACATAATCTTTTTAAACAACAAAATAGACATCTCTGATCATTACGTGACTTGGGAAATAGACTTGATTTATGGAATGGCTTTACATCCAAGTTGACATTAAAGGGGGTATCGTGACTGGGAATAAAGGTTGGCCAGTGGGTAGATCCGAGGTAGATCAGTATGTGTGTGTAGTTTTATCTGAGACTTAAATCCTAGTCACTAGAGTTATAAAGAAAACAAAAACTCACTCATCCAAGCTTGATTCCAACACCAAGTATGTGTTAGCAATCTTCGATTCTGGTAGTTACAGAGGTAAACATGAAACATATTAGTTGTAGAAATCTGCAGTTTATAGGCCATATCTTTCATATCGTTCATGTCTGTTTGACACGGCCATCTTACTCAAGTGCAGATCAATTCCTTTCGAGGAGACACCGACTGACAAACCTGTATAGTGGATCTCTTCTCTTCAAAAGCCATTACTGCGGTCCAAGGACTGCTGATTCATCAGCTACACCTCAGATCCCACCAGCAATATGATGACATAAGCCTTCCAAGTTAGCGAAATCATTATACCTATTACCCTCTGACCCGAAAACTATCAAGCGTACATGCTGAGGACATTAAATCATGGCGTCCATACCCTACAAAAAAAAAATAATGGAGGCCGCAAGGATCATTTATTAGAATGCATTCCAACGTTAAATGGATGCCTTTTGTTCTCCATTAAGCCCTCAATTCCACCACTTATGATGTGTATCATCATCAATAAATGCACTTGGCATACATGTTTTTTCCTTGGAAAAAATCTTTTTATCAACGTATGCCTATCCACCTTTTATTTAGGATCAGAGCTCTACATGTAATATCGAATTTGCTCATAATTAATAAATCTATCACAACATGTAATAATCCTTTCTCTTCCCCAATTCACACCAGCTTGTTTACTTACTATCTACAGTTGGTCACAACTTAGCCCACCATCGTTTATGTAAACGGTGGTGGCTCAGGCAGTGGCTGCCACCAGCTCGGGAGCCACCACCATCTTCGGCTGAGTTGCTGCGAGCTCCTCAGCGATGGTGGTCAGGTTGCGGTCGTGCACGTTCACCCTCAGTCCATTCCTCATGAACAAGGTGAGCGACATCTTCTGCTCGACGCGGTGTCCGGGGGCGACGCTCAGCTGGTGCCTCAGCAACACGGCGGCGGCGATCGACTTCATCTGCAGGTAGGCAAGGTCCTTCCCGAGGCAGATCCGCGGTCCGCCGTTGAACGCCACGAACTTGAACGAGTCGTGCGGGAGGAACCGGTTGCCGTCCGGTGAGAGCCATCGCTCCGGTCGGAACTCGAGGCAGTCGTCCCCCCACACCGACTTCATCCTACCCGCGGAGTAAATGGAGTAGGTGACGGAGGAACCGGCGGGCACGAATGTGCCGTCGGGGAGGACGTCGTCGGCCATGACGTACTTGGAGTCCTCGGGGACGGACGGGTAGAGCCGGAGCGTCTCGGAGAGGGCTGCTTTGAGGTACACGAGGCGACCGGCCTCCTCAAAGGCGAGAGGTGTGGCGACCCACGCTTTGGGATCGTTGCCGCGGGATTCGGCGAGGACGGTGGCGAGCTCAAGTAGGACGCGGCGCTCCACGGCCGGATGGGTCGTGACCAGCCAGAAAAACCAGCTGAGCGCGACGGAGGAGGTGTCGCGTCCGGCGAGAATGAAGTTGAGCACCACATGCTGGAGAAAAGAGTCGGTGTAAGTGCCCTTCTTCATGAACCGAGAGAGGAGGTCGTCGTAGTTCCGGCCGTCTCTGAGCTCCAGCTTGCGGGCCTTGATAATGGCTGACAGGTAGCCGTCGACGTGCGCGACGCTGCGCGTGAGCGTGGCCTCCATGCCGACTTGGAGCCACTTCTTGAACCGCCAAACGAACTCGGGGAAGACGAAGCGGTGGAGGCTGGCCTCGGTGGCGCTGTCGAAGGCGATGGCGAAGGCGTTCTCCGGGAGGTCGGGTGCGAGCGTCTCCGGGTCCTTGCCGAAGGCGAGGCCGCATATGTTGTCAAAGGTGAGCCGGAGGAGCAGATCCTGGAGGTCGACGACCGTGGACCTGGCGGAAGCTTCTTCGAGGATGGGGAGAAGGCGGAGGTGGATGGAACGGCAGACCCACTGCGACAGGGCGATTCGGAGCGTGCGAGTGGTGAACTCCAGTGCAGCAGTCTTGCGCTGGAAGAGCCAGGTATCTCCATCGGAGTTGAAGATGCCGTCGCCTAGGAGGTCCAGGAAGACGGCGTGCCATGTCGGGCCCTTGGGGTAGTTGTCGAACCGGGTCTTGAGCACATGCTCGAGGTTGCGCGGGTCGCAGGTGACCGTCACCATCCCTTGCCGGCGTGCGAGGCCGGGGATGGCGCAAATGCAGGTCTGGTAGGTGCCGCCGGTGCCGCGGAGGTTGTCGGAGATCCACTCATGCATGCGCTCCGAGTGCTGGATCAGGCCAGGGAGGCTGCCCAACACCGGCCACACCCGCGGCCCGCAAAGCCCCGCCGCCAGCCTCGAGAACCACACTACGTAGGCCGCCATGCATGCAATCACCACAGCCACCGTCGCCACGTCCATCTCGCCTCTCCGCTATATGCTTGCACTCACCGTCACCTGTTGAAGAAGGAACAAGACGTCCTGAAATCGACGGAGGAAGCGTAGGAGTGTGATCTGAAGGTTCTGCAAGTCTTCTGGGCTGGTGGTGACTCACCTTAGGGGTGGCAAAATGGACAAGCGGAGAAGATAAAAAAGAGATGGGGGAGGAACAGGGCAGGGAAGGTACAAAATTTATAGAAAGGTGGTGGAGTTGCAGAGTGACATTTAATAGGACAGACTGTTCTTTTGCTTCTCACCAGCTACCACCTCCCTCTTCTTAATCTCCCTCACTCACTCGTAAGAAACGCCACTTTCCTGAGCAATTTAATGCCATCAGAAGCGGTTGGGTTCGAAGAGATGGCTGGATATGGAACAAGATCAGATAAGAACCATAAGACAGGCACACCTCAGTGATACTGCTGCAGCGGACGTTGGTTAGAACGACAAGTCTCGCGATGCTTTCATAGCCAAACCGGAAGATGGCTACGTCATGAATCTCAGGGACATCACCTAATCGTTGAGAAGCAACAAAGAACTGCTTTCATAAATGAAGGGAGGATGCTCCAGTTCTATTGCAGTCAATTAAACGGGAGTTCCTCTGTGAATAAGCAGAAGAAAGATGCAGATATAATAACGACAGAGAAGATGGTAAAGAAGAGAAAGAGGCAATAGGGAAGGAAGATAAAGCTGGCCAACAGTTCTTTGTAGCGTTGGCCATCTGATGTTGAAACCTTGTATGTACTACACGAAAAAGAAGGGGTTGGCCATCGAGTGTGACGGTTTGGAACTGGGTGACCAACCCAACCAAAACATGAGCTAGGTGTGGGGTTCAATAGCATTCTAGTTTCTGTCAGAACCCCCAATTTAATTATGAGACCTTGCTGTAGACCAAGGGGATAGATAGCACATTCTTTCAATCTCAGCATCCATCAATTTGGTAGTAACTGTGAATTGTTGTTCTCTTGAAGCTCATTCTCTTTAGATAAATGATCCGTTCGCTTTGAAATAATCCTAATGATGTAGAATATGATCTAACTATTTAGATTTAGGGAGGTTGAGATATTACTTAAATGTACTAGAAAATCTTATAGATTAAATCTGCTCACAAATAGGGTGTTCTGTTCTTCAAATTGCATGAATACAGCTTAAAGGGCACTTTTTTGGTTCCCATGAAGATACTGATTTTAAAAAGAAGAAAAATGTATGATCAGTGTCAAACCAACATATGGAAAGAAAGCAAGTTTGGTGGTTGAGTTGGTAGGAGGAACATAAGATGAATCTTTTATAGATAAGAGAGACTTATGTCTACTCTTTTTCCTCACACAGCTCAATATGAGCACTAATTCTATCTACTTTGTCAGTTCCATTTGCAAGCAGTGCTCTCTGTATGTTCTCTACCAAGAACAACTTCATCTGATTGCTGACGCCTGGGAGACTCTGTTCTCCTCTACCAGTGCCAGATTCCAACCAAACCTTCCTTATCTTTTCCTCAAGTTCGAAAACAATGGCTTATGCTTCAAATGTGTTGCAATGGCTGCACTTCAGTTGCAATTGCTGGAAGACTACCAAGCATGAGGTAAAGATTTATATGCATTATTGCTTTCGAACGAGTCAAGCGCCTACATTTAGAATGTGACATAACTTTTTAATCTAACTCTGTCGGATCCATCCAAATGACCATTTCAGACATGCAATCCCACCATCTTAAATGCGGTCAAGGACACAGGCAACACAGCAGTCCATTGCTCTGGTCGGATGATTGAGGTAGACCGACAAAGATCTTCCTAAGGACTGCGTGATTGAAACCATGGTTTTACATATTTATCCTTTAAGTTTGGATATATAATGTTTTCACAAGAACAGTTCATGTAATTGAGGTTGCTTAGCATGCAGTGGTACAATGGCAACTAGGCATCTCGCCTGCATGATTATATATGTTCTTTTCTTGAGAAGTTGTTCCAAGTATTTGGCGTAGATGTTTTTCCTATTCATTAATAATGAACTCATTTTAATACTCTGTGATTAAGAAATGAGTCATGAGAATTGGATACAACCCATATCTATGGGAGAAGATCCGAACTCAAGAGAAGTTAACTAAGATATCACTTTATTATGCTTATTTGTTGTTATTTGCCCTTTGAAAGCATTATACATTGGTGGCGGTTAATACACGAGAATGGATCCTATAGATTCACTGATTTCATGCTTTATTTCAATCCTGGACAGGAGTTCATCAAATCATCCACAACCATAAGGGCCTAAATTCACAAGCAACGTTGTTTACAAGGACGTGCTCACCATCAGTCATGACTCCGGCGCTGTAGCGTCCGCAAGCTAACCCTTGATCAAGGGGAGGCCGGTCGCCGTGACGATGAGCGTCGATGGGAGGCCGAAGACGATGTGCGCCCAGAAGGAGAGGTTGTAGCCATGGAGCTCCGACTTCCGCGCCTGCTCGCACACGATGAGGTTCGCGGCGGAGCCGAGGAGCGACAGGTTCCCGGCGACGGTGCTCACGAACGCCAGGATCAGCCATGCCCGCGTCTCGTAGTCCGGCGACACCGCCGCCGCGGATTTCGCCACCTGAGCTCCCAGCAACAGCACTGGCTCCAAGGTCAAGTGAAGACTGAGTTTGGCGACTGAGATAACATGCAGAGCAAGGAGAAGAGTTTGACCTACCAGTGGGGACATTGGACGCCAGGTTTGATAGCAGCAGTATGACCACGGCGAGCACTGCTACGCCACTCGCATGATTTATTCTGGAGTAAGGTTCCATGAATTCCCAGAAGGCACTTGGTATTCCTGTCCTGTTGAATCCATCGACTGTGATGAACATCCCACAGAAGAACACCAGTAGGGAATATGAAACCTGGGCCATCACATTCATGCATCCGGGATTCGTCATCTCCACGAGCACTAGGTATGTCTGAAGCTTAGTAAAGGATCAGAACACAGTATTACCTTGTCCAGACAAGGGCCAGCATCCTTGAAGTCGATCACCACAAGTATTAGAGCAGCAGTGATCGTAGTCCATGACATGTTTAGTCCCATGAGCAGCGCTATCAGCATGCCAACACTGACGATGTAGACGAAGCCCTTCAGAAACAGCTCCTTCTTGGTCAAACACCTCCTCATGTCGGGAACTTGGGAGCAGCCTCGCTTGGCGCCGTTCCTGCATGGGGTGTTCTTCTCGACGTCGTTCACGGGAGTCATGTGTTGGGGATTCAGAGGAGAAGGGTTGGGCTGCAAGGGAGACGGGTGCGACATCCTCGCAGGCGAGAAGGTATGGGAGTTCACTTCGTTCTCGGTGACCACGTCTTCCTTCGCCTGTTCTTCGCCTTCCTTTGGCGACAGCTGCCGCCAGAACATGCAGAGAAGGAACACCACGTTGATGACGACGCCGAGGAGCATCGCGGGGACGACTCCCACGAAGAATCTGACGAAGGAGATCTTGCTTTGAACGGCTATCACCAGGTTCTGCGGGTTGCCGATGGGCGTCGCGCTGGAACCGATGTTGGCGCTGGACGCCAGCGCCAGGAGAAATGGCTTGGCTGGAAGCTTGTGCTGCCTTGCGAGCTTGAGGACGAACTCGGTCAGCACGATGCAGGTGGTGTCGTTGGTGAACAGCGCGCTCGCCAAGGCCGAGACGAGGCAGACGCGGCAGAGCAAGTCCCGGCCGCCTTTGCTCTTCCACGACAGCAGCCTGCCCAGGTACTTGAACATCTGGGCTCGTTCGAGGTAGATGCTGACGACCATGGTGCCGAAGAGGAGGCCGAGGATGGGGAGGTCGATCGACGCGTAGGCCTGGTCGGGGCTGATGACCCGGAAGATGATCATGAGCATGCCGCCGAGAAGAGATCCGGCAGTTCTTCCTATGGGTAGGAAGGGGACTGCAGGGAAAACAGCCAGCATCCAGAATATGGCAAAGGCAATTGAGCCCAGCACTACTGCAGGAACCGAAGCAAGCGCCATCTTCCTTGATGTGGCAGCCGCAAAAGAATCTCCTATGAAGAATGGGCAAGATGAAGTATCAGCTGTGCAGGTCTGCTTCGCTGCTTTCAGCTGATACTGCTCGAGGAAGTGAACTTGACACTTCCACTGGAAGAAGAAAACGGAAGTTAGGAACCAAAACAATCTGATATGAACACTCATGCCATGCACACATTATGCCATCATGATAACTCTCAGATTTCCAAGGTATGTTCATGTGATAGATAATCTGATATTAGATTCTTCTTTAAGCAGGAAATTTGCCTTTATAATATTCTTAAGAATGATAATATTTACCATTAGATTCTAACTCATAATTCTCAGTAATCTTTTTTTCCTAGATTTTGTATCTTGAGGCATATCTACAATACCAGGATCCACAGCAGCCTGCTATCCGAAGTAAAACCTCATGACTTGAGGCTTTTGCTAGATGTAAGCAAGGTACTATGATGTTTCTTTTGTTCTCTTTCTTCATTCATCTCTGACTGTTTCTTCTAACATTCCTAGTACATGTAACATACAAGCAACAAATGAACATGCCATGTATGTTTGACATATCAATATTTGAGCATCATGTTCCCCCCAAAAATGATGGATTAGGTAAGCAGGGAACACTGTGTAGTTTCCTGAACAAATTCAAGAACTGAAACATATAGCAAGCAAACAGGTAAAGACATCATATGATTTGAATCCTATGTATGCTTCAATTAACAAGCTTGTGAAGTAGAGTTGATCATCAGCAAGAGAAAATAATTAATCTTTTGAAGATACAATTTTGGTATCAGTTTGAACACTGGCTAAGAAAAATCTAAACTGTTGATCTAATGGAACTCAACAGAGACACCAAAGCTTATCATTGAGCGAGAGCATTTGTACCTGTGAAGAGCAAAAGCCCAGGAAAGTTGATATGAACCGATGCTGGAGGTGTCAATTTATAGAGCAGCTCAGGAATTAAAGCAACTACATCGGTGAGTGGACTTTATATTGCTAAGATTACTTTAATACAAAGATTAGATAGACAGCTTACGTGAAGAACAGTACAAAAACAGGAAAGTAAGATAAGAGGAAAAATACAAAAACAAGAAAGTAAGATTAGATTTTGATTTAACGGCAACAAAACCATAGATCTGGAATGGGATTGGACTAAACGATGGACTTATTATGACAACTTTCTCATGATACGTCCCGCTCTGTAAAGAGTGGATTGGATGATCACCAGGGAGAGAGATAATGGAAGAGCAAAAGGGAATGGAATCGGACCGCAAAGGTGATTAGAGGTATCAAATGATTCTGCCATGGACTTTTGCCTACAGCATGAATCCTTTCCTATCTCAACAAAAGCGATCTGGTTTAGTTCTTTGGCAGGATCACCATTCTGTATATCACTTATCTTGGACTAGGTTTTAATGGCCTTTGCTAATCTGAAGTGGAGAAGTAATTAATGAATGTTTATCATTGAGATCTATTTCAAGTGCTTTTATGTGCTAAAAACAAGTTTATAACTACAGTTCTCATTAGGAAAAAATCAACACAAACCATGTACTGATGGCGGGGAGGCTACCATCTTCTTTTTCTTCTTGTCTGTATGCCATGGAAAACATTGGAAGAAGCTTATACATAGTCTGAAATCTATTTTTTCTCTGCATCCAATCTGATACCAGAGAAATAATTTTGCAATATATTCTTGCCGAAATATATAGTACGGAGAACTTAGAATAAATTGCATGAGCAGAAGACTTGAACAACTTTCAGATACTTCTTTCTGATCAATTACTTACTATAAAGTTTCACCACATATTCTTTTCAGTTCTCTGTATGAATTTGGATTCTGAATTACACACATACTAAATTATTTCTTTATCAACTCCTCTTGCTTCTCTTCGATCAATGTGACCCATGAGCATGGTACCAAGTCATCAATTTCAGTGACCTCATAGTCCACAAATTGGAGATAATGCAGAAAAAATAATACTGTCCGAGGCACCGGGCATTGCTAATCTTCCAAGCTGTCATTTGCATCCAGCAAAAGATCAACTGTGTTGAACTTCTCTCCAAAAAACATGGAAGGAGAAGGACCTCAACAGAATTGTTTTAAAATCATCTCTTGACTTGTGTAGTGGTTACGATACGGATTTTTTTAGCTACCTAGAGTGTTAACTGGAGACCATTCTTCATCATTAAAGAACAGTTTCACTGGTACCATATAAAGCTGATGAATGCCTAAAGTTCTTTTACTGAATACTAAGTCATACTTGAAAAGTTAGATTGTTATTATTATTTTTTTATTGTGCTACCGAAACCTTGTGCCTAATTGGTCAGTTTAGTAGGTGATTTGGTTGGTTCCTCCTCTCTATATATAAGTGACTTCTTGTGCTCTAACTCTTGGAATGTTCTGCTCATCATCGCAGCCTATAACGATGGAGTGGCGGTGTCAAAGACTTTAGGTTCGACACTTCATTGGTGGATCGAAGTAGATTCCTCATAGAAAAACAATGATTTGGTTTATAAGAAATTGAGTCACACTAATATTTATTACCTTCACATACTTTGTTTTATGAGAGATACAAGGCAGTTAAATGGTCACCTATTAGGTTGATCTAAATCCTTATAAACATCTGAAGGATCAGCTTTTTGCAACCTGATCCATTTTGACCTAGCAATCATCTTGTCACCAGAGCTTGAAATCACATAATATATTCCCACGAAGTTTCCCAAGGCCTGGTGGATGATTAATTTACATGAAACAGTTCTGGGTGACATTCACAGTCGGCATTCCCTCATGTTTTATTAGACAAGCAATCAAAATGCAGAGCAGCTTCTTTCTAGTAGCTAATTTGGGTTGCATCTCCAACTCCTCTCATGGTACAATCTGCTAATAATCCTAGCACTTTGGAGCCCATGCATTTTAGATTCTTCGTGCTTGAACGAAGAACAAGCGATCGATGAACTTGTTCATAGTAATTGTACATAGCGTGCCAGTTTCGAATCTTCCTGTGACTGACCCTCTCACCAAATGCAGGTATCAGTGCAGGTGCAGTATCTGCATGAGGGTGCTCCTGCACGCGTGACCCACTCCTTGTTCTTCGCATCTCCATGAGCTTGCAGATGTGCTTTTTGGAACGAGATCCAACCGATGGCAGAGACGAGGAGCCGTCGATTAGGCATTGTAAGCTCAGCTGACACCAAAAGATCAGTATGCTCTTCTTTACTTTTAGGTGAAGTGGATGAAGTTCTTTGCACTTACCAGTCACCTCATTCTTTATACTCCATGACGAGGTTGATGAGGCGCACAAGACGTAGTGCCAGCAGCTGCGACCGAGCCTCCATGTCTCTGTCTGCTCTCGCCTTCGGAGACATAACGACACCGAGAGGCTCTCATCACTCTCACCTTTCACTCCATTAAAGAAGGAGGTCAGATAATCCACTGCGTTAGCATCCCCCATGTGTTCATCGCCATCACCACTACCACCTTCACCATCGCAGTTCTTCCAGTTTGCTCGACGACTTCTGCAAAGGTTTACTTTAGTTGCTGCCGTGATGCATTCACCCCTGGCAGTTTCTGCTTGTGCTCCTCGTTGCTTTCGAGCTCCCCCGGTCATGCATTCGTTCGTCTCTGCACGCGCAGATATAATAACATCGTCCTATTGATTAGGAAGAGTTCGATCCAGTTGCGGTTTTACCGCAAGCAGTGGCGTGCACTGTCAGCGTCAGTGATTGATGCTACTTCTCATGCTAAATTGCGGGGGAATCCCAGCTCTCATACGCAGCCACTCACATCGGAATCTGCTGCTGGATTTTGCTGTCAAGACTCGTCTCGATCGAAGGGTGGGTCAAGTGAAGGAGAACAAAAGGGAACAGAACTGGTCGAGGTGGTATCATATCACCTCCTCAACTCAGCGAAAGAAGAGAAAGAGATCAAAGCTTCAGAGGTTGAATCGAAGTTAATCTCTATAGTAACGAACACTGTACACTCATCGAGTATAGTTTCCCATAATTCAGCCTTTTCACTGTGACAATTATGGTTTTCTGCTTGATTAGTCATCATGTCAGTATAAAAGCATGAGAATTATTCAACACTGGTCACATCATCCCCAAAGAAATAGTAAACAGAAAAGAAGGGAAATCACAAGACATGACAATCCTTTGGGTAGTTTTACATGACCTAAGCATCATTTAGATTCTGAGCATTGCAAAAGCAAACAAAATAAAAGTCATGGCATGGAAAAAGAAAAACACTGTGCAAAAAAAGGTCAACACTTTTCACATCATTCCCCCCAAAAAACCAAACAATACTTCTTATCTTATGCAACTTTAGCATCTGTCATATCTATCAGATGTTAGACACAACAAAAGCAAAAAACAAAATACAAAAGCATGATAAGTGAAAATGAAAAATACTGTGCAAAAAGTCAACACTTTTATCACATCATCATTCCCCAAGCCACATGTAAATAGATGACTGTCAGGAAATTACCACACATGATCAAATCAAATAAGAACGTCAAATTTGTGTGGGGTTTGGTAGGGTTTCCAATCGAGAGTCGTTTGGCATGAGTACAAGCTAAAGCCAACCCTAGTTTTACTTGTTAACAGTGGAAAAGCAATTCTAGTTCAAAGGCAAGTTCTGTGAACCACAACTTTCCAGTTCGTGCTGCTTCCCACTTTGATCCACACATTACAATCAGTGCGTTAAAATCATGAAGCCATATTTCACCATCCAAACATAGGGAGAATTGAAGTGAAAAGAAAAAGGAAAAGTTAGAGAGCATCGTCATCAGGCAATGATCATTGAGCCAACATTACTTTTAGCAGAAATGAACATCAACATTCAGCAATGGACAGGGTGTTGGTCCCCTCACCTTTGAATGAAAAATACCAGGAGAGAAGGGATCCCTACTCCATGGATGAGGAACAGTTAGCTTGTTCCTTAAAGCTGGTTCTCCTTGACCCATCATCTTTATGATTCCACCCACTTCGAGAGGCTCCAAGAGCATGGTTGTGGACCATATTTCAAGTTACATCTGGCTCCTTGGAGTTGTGCTAGGATCATAGGAGATAGGAGATTCATAAGAGATGAAGAGTGGAAGGGGGACAGCATGCATGGAAATGTGAAACAAGATTGTAGATCAATAGGAAGAATGTTGACATAAAATTGTTCATAGCATCTGTTTTAGGACTCTTGCTTTATTATCTTTTAGGATTGTCCCATTGTCTTCTCCTTGCTTTAAAGACAAGTTTGGGGTCCTGACCTCAGGAAGCTCATCTACAAGAAGCTTTTCTTGGAGTTTGAGAGTCTTAATTATCCATATCTATTTAAAGACTTTAATGTCTTTATGTTTTGGTTTTCATTGGACTCCTGATTTTTCAACATGAACTACTTTTAGGAATGTGAAGTTTTAATTCACATCTTCTGCAACATATCTGTCCAGCTTATGAATCAGTTTAGGTTGGTGTGCACTTTCATTTTTGGTGCCAAAAATCTGTAGTATCTCCTGATTCTCTCTTCTTGGCCCATCTATGCAAAGGTTATTTACTTTGGGGAAGCACTCCATGAAGAAAGCAATCTAACTAATTAATCTCTTTCCATGATTCACTGCTACATTCTTAGTAGCTACACTGAAATGTAATAGGCATGGTAACTATAGGTGAACATGTTAACCCCTCTATCATGGTAGCTTTGGCCACAACATCAGCAACACACTTGATATACTAAAACCAGTGAAGAAGTTAGGTTGATGTTATTTTACAAGATTTGCTTGTACATAAGTTATATTACAACAATAATAATAAAATCATAAATTCTAATTATTCTATATATTTTTATCATTATTGAGATATGTAAAAAAATCATTGTATATAAGATATATATATGCCTGTTAAACTCCACATTTAAACATCTCATTTGGAGATTTAGCAAAATTAATTTGTTTTTCTTTTTGTTTTGTTCATGATAATTGTTGCTCCATATGGTCTAAGGCTTCTAGATAGACTGGAATGAATGGAGGAGGGAGTGGGTTGGAGATCAACTAGAAGGGCCCATAGTCAATTCAAGTCTTAATAGAACTGGATCAAAGTTATCATCCATGGAGTTTGGACATGCAATACATAATTAGTTTATGTGAAACTGCACCTGTGGGTTTGACTAATGTTTTTACACACTTTAAACAACTTGAATTGACATAAGCAGATCGATTAGCTTAATCAATCCAATAACAGCAAGACATGTTTTCTAGACAAATTCATCTTTTAGTCAGCCAATGAAGTGTTTCACAGCCTCTGATGAAACTTTGAGGGGAGAGGCAGTCACCTGTTGATGATCTTAAAATCAGACAAGTTATGAACCCTTAATTGTTCTAACCAATGGTGATCTTGCAACAGACTATGAGTTAATTGAAGGCACAATCAAAGACTTTTTGATAGAGAGCCGATATCGATCATAGAATAAAAGCTGGAGAGTTAAGGTGTCGACAAGTATCAACCGTTTTGTATGATCATCATATCATCAGACCAATCATGCTTCGATCTATTGCAAGTTATCAACATTAAGAAAATTAAAAGCATATTATTAGGCCGATTAAAAAAAGCATCATATATAAAATAATTGGTATCATTAAGAATACAAATGAATATATAAATTTATTGATATTTAGATATATATATACATATATACATATATATATACATATATACATATATATATACATATATACATATATATATACATATATACATATATATACATATATACATATATATACATATATATATATATATATATATATATATATATATATATATATATATTTGAATGATAAGACCTTAAAGTCTTAACATCGAAGAAAGGAGAAAAATGGGGATGATAATGATCGTTTCGAGAGGATCGATCCTCCTTGATCGCTCGGAGAGGATGGGCGGCATGAATTGGCGTATGTGGCGCCCACCATCCTTTACAATGACATCTCGCATCTTGGTGGGCGCCACAGAGCAGTAGACGAAGTCTCCCGCGTCGTCTCCGGGCCACCCGTCGGCCAGAGCTCGACGGTAACAGAAGAAGGAGAGAGAGAACCTTGATAATCGCAAGTCGGCATCCATAAGCTCCATTTCTTGTCGCGATAGAAAACGATGTAGATCTCAGGTTTTGATTTGTACTACATGTGTTTGGCGATTCCTACGTCAGATTATCGCCAAATCGACCTTCTTTTTTTCTTTCCTATTTCTAGGGATTTGCTCATTAAACTGGGAAATCATCTTTCCGAGATGATTTTACTGATCGCGCATCGCCAAGAAAAGATGAATGGATAAAGGAAGGGGAACGATCGAGACTACATTCTTTTGATTTTGGTGGATGCCATGGTTTCCGTAACTACTCTTCTTTTCCTTCCTTGGCAAGTCTTGTAGATCCAAGAAAATGTTGTTTGTTTGTTTTCCTGATTTCTTCGAATTGGAATGCATAAATGAGTGATTTGCCGATGATATATGCTTTGCTACTGCCTGATTTGGGTAACAATTCGAAGAAATTGTTGCTACGATTTGTGGTCGGTGTGGTGATGGTGGTGGTGGTGGTGTGATGGCATTTGATGTATTGTTTTTGATGGACAGGGAGGAAGATGGTAGTGGTTGTGGCTGGGTTGCAGATTTGTGGATACCATGGCAGATGAGCCAAGGCAGAGACAGTCTCTTATCAAGAGCGATGTACGCATGATCCAGGTTTTGTTGCAGATATTAATTCCTTGCAAGTACATGATATACCCTTGGTGAGATGCATATTGTCTTCAACCTCTCTTTAAGTGTAGATGCTCGATTGAATGCTAATATTTCTTAGAAGTTCACATATGTTTGTATCCACAGACGAATGTACATGATGCACACACCACGTGTAGATCTGAGCTAGGCTTCTTTCTTTAGGCTAAATGTGTTACTGCCAAACAAAAGTCATCAACTTTAAATGTTTCTTTCTTTGCATCAAAACATCCCTGAATTCGGAGTTTACAATCTTGAATGGTTAAACCATGTTCTTGCACTATAGAATCCCTAAATCTGTTATTTTTTTCTTTAATGCCTATCTTTTAGCAGTATGTCGTTTGCTTTTTGATGCATAATCAATTAGTTTATACATAATTGTTATGACAGTGAAAGTCTTAACCTGAACTGACATATCCCATGATTCTCCATCTTCTTCGTTTAAGAATGCCATTAGAAAGCAAAACTAAAGATTCATGCCCTTATTTTCATACCTTATTGGTTGGAATATAAGATCATACGAAACCATGACGTCATGGTAAGTATTATAGGATTTTGAACAAAATTTGCACAACCATGAACTGAGGGTAACATGTTGAAGAAATTGTGAATGTACAAGATCTAGTAATGATGCAATGCTTCGTTTTCTTGTTTCCTGAGATATTTATATTCTCTTTATGCTTAGATTTTAGAGGCAAGTAACAAAGATTGTTGATTGTTCAAATATGGTTATACTAAGTTTCTTTTTGTATAGAATTGAAGTCTGGATGTGGTCATATTTTTATCTTATGGAAATCACTATCTCAAAAAAGAGACTCATACATGCACACAGTTATGCTATCATTCACTTGGACACAGTGCTCTTCTAACCAAATGCTGGATGTACATAAGTGTCATGCTTTATGCATCTAAAATGCTTTGAAGCACCGTGAATTGCTAGACAAATTGATGTATGACTTGTACATTCAGATTGATGAGATTAGTGAGACTCCATTAGTCAAAGAAGTGCATACAAAGTGATATTTTCTTTTGTAGGGAAAAGGCACCATTTTCCACCTCCATACAGAGACAAAGACATGTTCACACATGTAGTACATAGCAAAGAGAGAAAGATTTGCATGCTGATTAGAAATTGGGATGTTCACTTCTTCGTGTCATTTAATCATGTGAAATGATCCAAGCAGTAAGGATGCAAATCTTTCAACATGCTATAGCTATCAAGTTATAAGAGAGACGTCCATAAGGCAGCAACAAGTACATGGAGCAGATCATTTACTGAATGTTCAAAAACAACAACAACAATTAAGTCGTAAGTCTCATCTATTTAAGGTCGGCTATACGAACCTTTTATCAAGGTACATCCGATGTAGTTTTAAGTTGGCTATCAATGACCTAAATTAATCCTTCACCTTTATCATCTGAGCTTGATGGCCTGAGAATAGCATGATGGTGTTAAAATGCTTATGTGGTATTGTTAAAGTTACAAGCAGAAATTATCCTTCCATGTGTTATAAAATGCTTATGTGGGGTTAATTGAGACAGATAATTGTCCTAATCACAATTATGTGGTTTCAAGTCTGACCTGATGTAATCTGTTTGGTTGTCATTTCTTTATCTAACGTATGTGGCAAAATCAATGCATGACAGTTCGGGTGTCAACATTGTGATAAAAGTATGGTTTTATGATATTGAATGCAATTTCCGGAAGCCAATAGACTTCTTTGAGATGTTTATTGTTATATTAACCATCCCCTTTTTCATGTATATGACATGGACTAGAGATTACTCTCACTTAGCTGAGGATTTTTGAAAGGTTAATTAAGCTTGTAGGTTGTGACGATACGATGATTCTTTCATTCTTAATCGTTCGGTTTGATATCTGTCTATTACAGGATGAACACTGCACTCAAGAACTCCCCATCCATATCACAAACGAGAGTTTTGATATTAGAAGCTTCAGATTGCAACGCTCGTCTTCCCATCCGAGTCTTCTTGACTTTGATGGTGCCATGGATGACACTGGAGTTGCAGCTGGTTTCGGTCACCTACTCGTTACCTGGTGTCGTCTTCTTCCTCCGGCATCAGTCCTTATAGGGAAAATAATGGCCGGATGACGCGTCGTGACGACAGCCCCTGGAAAAGCAATAACGCTGACTAGACCCGCCCTGACAACCCCCGCTGTTGAACGACGACCTCCGACCCCGCAGGGTTGACCACGACAAGGCAGGACAATGACCTGCCCCCCGCCCATACCCTGCTACGAACCGCTCCACCACGCGACCCCAGCAGCCGCGTCAGACGCCATCAGAGGTACCACCTCACTCCAGCAGGCGGTCAAGTCAGGTAATGCTAACCTCCTCTATAAATACCCCTAAGTCCTAAACAAAAGGGGGACTCTCTGAACATACTCAAGACTCGGAGGTTTCTCCTCCTCCTGAAACCCCTTCCACATCTTTCGCTAACTTGATCGTCGGAGGGATCGGGTCGAGCACCCCGACCCGACCTTGGTGCAGGTACGAAGCCTTCGGAGATCACCGCCTTCGGAGACTCAGCGGGCTCGAGGAGACTCCCCATCCTTTGACCACCACCTTCCGGACCCGAACCAAGCCGCGACGACCTCAGGGCCACGGCTGAACTGACCGTAACAAGTCCCGTACGTGCTCCAGCGTGCCATCGATCACTGCATGCCATTTCTTTTGACGCCGTCGCCTGTCTCACCCTCCTTCCCCTCGTCTGCTTCTGTTGTTACACTCCATTCCGGTAAGCTTGTTTCTTGTTTTGGTAGGATTTAGATAATGATACGTATTGCGTAAGATGGCATTTTTACTTTAATAGGTTGCAACAGTGAAGTCTTGCCACATATCTGTCTCCCAAAGCAGCGCCCGACCCTCATGCATTCATGCCCACCTAAAAACAACGGCTATGGGTCTTATCGGCACGTTATGGTCGCCCATTAGCAGACGTCTCTCTCTGCCCCCCGCCCCCGCCCCCGCCCTAATAAGACCAGTCTTACTTGCTGCTTTCCCTACTCAGCAAGCGTTTGGCTTCTCGTTCGTGCCTTGCCTGCCCACCATGGCCGCCGCCGCTGCTTCGAAGCTGGTACGTATCGACTCCATGCAGTCGGCGATGCCGGTGAGAATGACGCCGCCGGGTCGGTCACGCCGTATCTCCGCGGCCACCCCGCTCGGCCCCGACGTGCTGCAGAGGCGCTGCCAGGTGGTGCTGTACTACAGCAAGGTCGGGCATGGGGAGGAGGCAGAGTCGCCGGCGACGGTCGGCGCGTGGATGAAGGAGTCGCTCAGCGCGGTGCTGCTGAGCCACCCGGTGATGGCTGGGCGGCTACGGAGGGACGATGAGGGCCGCGGTTGCTGGGAGATCAAGTTCAACGACTGCGGCGTCCGGCTGTTGCAGGCCACAGCCGAGGTGACTTTGTCCGAGTTCTTGTGCTCGGAAGACAGGGATGAGAGGGAGGCCAAGTTGGCGTACTGGGAGGACGTGAACGCAGACAACCCAAACTACTCACCTTTGTTCTTCATCCAGGTCTGTTTCGCCATGCCGTGCAACTGATGCACTGCACATATCATCGTGATTGCCATCGTCTTCTTCTTCTTCTTCTTCTTCATGCTGCAGCACCATGCATAAACTACCTGCACCCAATTACTTGAGTCTGTGTCTAGAATTAGCTGTGCAATTATCCGTAATATTAGATGATAATATAGCAAAGAAACACTAGACTAGTTTAGTGATGCATTTAATATATAAGCTAATCATGAGAAGGACACTCTACCAAATCCACCCACTCAAGGCTTCCGTTCTTACTTCTCTTGCACTCTCTCTCATAAATGTGTAGGTTTGCATCAATACTCTTTAACTACAATCATGTCACACCTCCTGTGCAAATCAACAACATGTTGATGTGAGCAACATATGTTGGTATGGAAACGTAACTACCATCGCCATGTCTGCATTCTTCTCCGTTTTGGTGCGGTTGCAGGTAACCCAATTCCAGGGAGATGGATACTCCATCGGGATCAGCTGCAGCCTCCTCCTTGCCGACCCCTTCGTCTTGGCACGCTTCCTCAAGTCATGGACTCGAACCCACACCACCATGTTCGCCAATGGCCAGCTCACCAAGCCCCCCATCCACCTCTGCTATTCCCATACATCCGGCCACCCGCCTTGCCACAGCAACTGTAACTCGACTGCAATCTCTGCCACTGCCACCACCACCTTGTTCAAGGTCGCTCGGAACTCGTGCGCCACGAACGCCGCTGCGGCCACTTGCTTCCGGGAGGCCGCAAGAAAGCTCGGGACAAAGCCGGCGTCGAGTTACTCACTCATGATAAGCGATCGCACCGTCTACCTGACCGTGGAGTCGGCCGGCTTCGACGAGGTCGCCGGTGGCAGCGCAACGGAAGTGGCATGGCGTGACCAACTTGGGATCGAGGAGATAAGCCTCGTCGAGGCCACGAAACCTGTTCATGCGTCGTGCCGGATCGTGCCGTGTGCCGGCGAAACGCTGGTGGTGGTGATGCAACCATCAGACGAGGACGAGCTGATGGTTAGCGTCACGTCGCCGGCTGATAAGATCTAATTAAAGCAAGCTTGCGAGATCAAACCATTACGTCTAGTACTCTTCTGTCATATGAAATATCTACTTGATATAATATTTCAACAGCAAACGAGATTGTGTAAATGTGTGTTTTTTGTGACTTAGAATAATTTCCATCATCAATGAGATCACAAAATTCTGCGATAAGGGAAGTCAAAAACTGGTTTACAAGATGAAGTGGATCGATTAGGAGGATTATTTTGTTGAAAGCCATGGCTGACAATAAACTACAAAACCAGCAACGCTCGACATCCCATGTGAGAATACGACGCCGACGCGCCAACCAGCCAACCGCTCTTCTGGCATTCAATGGCTTTGGTCACCGAGATCTATCCGACCTCTTCAAATCTAATTGGGGACTTTCAATTGGATTCGGAAGAGTTCGAGTGGAGAGATTAGCGCATAAATTAAATATATGAAATTGATGGATATCCTATCTTTGTCAAATCAATATTTTATATATGTTTTAAACCATTAATATTTGATAAATGGGTTTTGTTCATAACACTTGACTAATATCTTGAGCGTAAAATTATTAATATGATGAGGATCCAAATAATCATGTTTTTAGTTAAGATTACCTAAGGTATCCGGCACCCAAGCGATATACGTTCGCAACGTCAATCTACATCCTTAACTTCATGCAGTCTACGAAGGACTTGCACATATAAAAATAAAAAATAAAAAGTGAACATATGGGTAATTTAATATTATCCAAGGCAACTAATATTTATTAGGCTCGAAATACTCTAAAAAATGAGTCGAACTAATGCACATAAAGAGCATAGGCCGATGCAAACCGAATGTTCATCTAACACTTTTGTTGAATATAAAATGAGCACACGCATCACACCTTAAACACTTTTCATACTGCTAAGTCATCAGCTAGAAATCAACCCGTGACACGTGAGAATGATATAGTTTTGAGCTATTTTTTCCTTTGTATGACACCACATGACTTGAAATATTTTTGAGTTTTACATGATAAAAAAAGAAAATAAAAACACTGACAACAAACAAAAATGGGACTGATTATTATGTTTTTTACCTTATAAAAGTTATCCTAAAGAAAATAACAAAAAATAAGAACCGAAAACTATCACAGACAAGTGATGAATATCTTATCTGCATTGCTCTATCATATTCTCTCGCATTTATTTCTTCGATGCCCTATCAACGTCTATAACCATCATATACTTCTCAGCTTTTATTGAGTCATCAATTTTGATCCATCCACTTTGCTGCAACTCGCTACTGAGCTGGATAAGTTGTAGAAGTTGGGTGAGTTGGATCACTTGATGCTGAGTCCTAATAAGGGAAGAGCCTTCATGCTTGTTTTCAAACCCATTGAAGGCGTTATCCTACCAAAGCTTGATAGGTGTTGGTTGTACTTGGTAGGTGTTGTGGGAAACAACTTTGAGCCGTGGCCTCGGGGCCGATGCGGCTCGGTTCGAGTTCGGACGACGGGGATCTCCCTGGGGCGTTCCTCGAGCCCGCTGAGGTGGTCGGATGCGGTGTCCGATTGGGATGGTGTAGCCGTCTCCTTCGGGCAGGAACTCCTCGTCTACGCGTCTAGAGGGGACCTTCGGCTTCGCACCTGCACAAAGGTCAAGCCGAGGCTCTCGGCCCGACCCCTTCGACGATCAAGTTAGAAGATGTGGAGGAGGTTTCAGATGAAGAAGTGTTTTTGTGTCTGTTTCTCCTCCCTCTTTCTAATGAACGAGAAGGTATTTATAGGGAAGCATACTGCTTCCTGAGCTGCTCGCTTGCAGGGGACAGGCTGGTAGCGTCTGACTTTGTGTTGACGTGGCGTGAAGAATTGAGCTTTGGCAGGATGTTAATGCGCCTCGGTCGGCGTTCCGGTCTGCATTGACCAGGTGCTGTTGCGTGAGGCGTCATCTGACGTCAGCCGAGTCTTATCATAATTACTATCCTCATCATGGCTATGTTGTAAAATTTGAAGAGTCTATAGCTTTCTCCCATAAAGTTTGTCCCTCACATTCCTCCGTTTGAAGAGATTTTTAGTTGATGTAGAGCTCTACTACATATGTGAGGAGAGTTGGATTACTTGGAATGGATCCACTTAAATTCCTGGATTCGTACTCCTTGGCCTTGATCTGATCACTTGACTTTGCCCACTCTTCGTCATTGTACTTCTGGAATATGAGAAGTCTTGCTCAAACTTGAGCTAGGTTTCACTATTGGAGAGTGCTTGTTTGGTGGCTTTGGTTGCACCATTTGGATCGTCTATGTCATAGTTGCGACCAAAAAAATATACTCTCCCTCCTAGAGTATAAGTTTGGTCAGTGCTTGAAAGACCCATTATTGTAGTACCATACCTCATCTCCTAATGCTCATGCTCTTCAATCCGATGCGTTTTTGGATAAATTCATTTTAGGTAGTTGAGTCTATCCTAAACATGAGATTGTTGTAATGTCTTACCTCTACTAATCAATTGTTTCTACACATCTTATGAATTAGGAAGTATTTTCCTTCTAATATTTTGCTAATTAGACTACTATAGGGTCCTTGCTAACTCTGGTTCTTCATCTTTTCGCTTGGTATTCATAATCATTGTTAGATTTTGTCCCTTCGAAAGTATCTGGTTACCCACTAGTTAAAATAAGCTATAGAACACTCACTTCGTCATCCAAGTTAAGAGGTCCTAGAGTTTCTTCCATTCTAGAAATGATACACAATGTACAATTAGATTTTCGATTCCTTCACTGAGTTTGAATTGTCATTCCACCTTCTGTTTTCGGGAAAATGACTTTAGCAATTGAGATCCTGGCACATCGGCATATTCTTCAAGTGCATCCATCTTGATGGACCCTTAACCCTTGTTGAGGCCTTCTAACTCCAATTGCATCATTGTGGGATTTGTCAGGTCTTTTTACTTCGATTCCTTCTTCACTTGTATAGCTGAGAGTATGTATGTATTGGGTGACTCATTTGTCCACCAATAGTTTAAATATGAAGGCATTCCCGTACATTAAAATTGAGACATCAAACACTTGTTATTAACTTTCAAATCCTAGAAATCTCGAGTAAAATTCAAAACCATGGTATCCTCTTAATCTTCAACTTTCAACGATAACAACCACTTGCATGGATGAAAGAGGCATTCATTAATTTCTATCCTTTATATCACAATTCCAGAATTTATATTCACATGTTCTAGGTGATAGAAATAATAAAAAATAAGAACAATAATTGAAGAAGCTTTATTGTAGAAATGAAATAGCTTTAGCTTTAATCTATTAACATATTCCCTCTCCTATTTATACAAATTAGGAGGAAGAATTTCCCTCAACAGAATAAACAGAATAGAGAGATTTCCTCATATAATTGGGGAAATCTTATCCTCTATCAAGTTGGGGAAATCTTATCTTCTATCATGCCCCCGTAAGATGGTGCTCCATACTAATCTTGGATCGATGCAAAGAATAGTTTAAAGCAAGAGGAAGATGAGGATTTGTCGTGAAGCCTCTGGCTACAGCGGCGTTGGTGAAGCTTCGTTTTTCTCAACGACGTTGGTCGTTGGCCAAAGGCAAGAGCCCAAAGGCAAGAGCGATACTTTGGCTCTAATACCACGATAAAAATAATAGAAGATAAGAACAATAATTGAAGAAGCTCCTCTCTATTTATACAAATTAGAAGGAAAGATTTTCCTCAACAAAATAAATAGAGAGATTTCCTCATATAATTGGGGAAATCTTATCGGGAAATCTTATCTTCTATCACTAGGAACTTATGGATTATTTATTTAGACGAAATGATATAATTGATAATAGCTTTGCACATGAAAGGTAGAGTGAGCTTATTTAATTATTTTTTTTTGACTAACCAAAGAAATTGTTTTACATATAATTTCACATATACCTTCTCGATAATACCTATAGAACGAAGTACAATATTATTTTTTTTCTTCAAAAGAAAATGGAATATATATATATAAGACAAGAAAAATTAATGAAGAAGCTTTAATGTATTAACATGTTCCTCTCCGATTAGGATGGCTATGAAGCCTCGTTCATCGTTTGAATGTATTAACATATCTCTCTCCTATTTATAAAGATTAGGAGGAAGAATTTTCCTCAATAGAATAAGGATTTCCCTTAACAGAGCGAGATATTTCCTCATATAGTTGGAGAAATCTTATATATATATATATATATATATATATATATATATATATATATATATAATTTTAAACTCCTTATAATTACTTCATTAAGTTTTATCAAGCTTCTAAGTGATATATATTGACAATGTGTAACAAAAGAATTAGGTTATCGTGTACGAGGAGAAACCAGCATCTCCCATCCATTCCATGTCACACGAGCAATCCCTCCTCTATCTCAAGGTCTTTGGTATCTACACAATCCCAAAGAAAAGTATTATTAGGTCTACATCTGCTACATTAGAGTTTAGCATCGTTCCTAACCCGCGAGAAGCACAACAACGTACACGCACAAGTTGGTGGGTGGTGGGGGGGAAGAAAGCAGAGGATGGATGAGAATTCCTCTTCTCCTGCGCACTCTTCGTTCACGTCCTTCCCGTGACAAGAAAACGTGCCCCTGCAGCTTCCATGCCACCGGCCACAAAAGCTGCTTTTGGCCGTGCTTTCCCGACCCTCACGCCTTGTTGTAAAGATGCCTTTACTGCTTTTAATTTGACAGCCAGGAAAGATGAACGCCACATCCACCTTTCACGAGGAGGCAGGCGATCCTCCCTTCCTCCCCACGTCCTTTCCATGGACCCCTTCGTCCATCTCTTTCATGTAGTAGCAGCTCACGATCGTTTTTCCTTTGTTGTTTTCGACCCGAAGGAGACAGCAAATTAACATGCTGTTTAATTCCATGTGATCTGTCGCTGACATGAATCTTTCCAGCCATGCATGGACTCGATGAATGAGATCTGCATGCCGGAAGGGACAGTAATCTGTAACTTGATCTTGGCCTAACTTGACCTCGTCACTGTGGTTACTCGTTCAGTCTGTGGTGATACCTTGAAGTGAATGTGAACCTGGAAGAAGACCTCCACCATGAGATTTAAGGCGCCATTCTCATGGAGTATATTTAGTTCATTGACTATGCTTTGAGGCGCTTTGTCTCTCACTTCAAGATCATAAAGACAGGAAGACCTCTGATATGATTGCATCCACGAAATCACACAGGAGATGAAGAACGAGGAAGAATGAAATGTAGATAAGAGTTATTACACCAAATAATACATAGAATCCATGAACTCAATCAAAGCACAAAAATCGATGGCACCAACGTCAAACGGCACTCTCTAGTCTCTACATAAGCAACGCGACTCCTCCAAGCAACGCGACCACTCCCATGCTGACCCCATGCACGTAAGCCCCAGAACCGCCGTCGGCAGGAGTCGAGGTAGTCGGCGCCGGCGCAGGCGCAGAGGGCGTGGTGGGACTAGGAGACGGCGACGACGAGGGCGACTTCGTCGCGGGAGCCGGCGAAGGGGTCGTCGGCGTGGAAGGAGTAGGAGCTACCGTGGGAGCGACAGGTGCAGGGGGCGGCGACGCCGTGGGGACCACGGCCGGGGGTGGAGTGGCGACGGGAGGAGGGGTGGCGGGGGGCGGAGTGGCGGCTGGAGGAGGGGTGGTGGGGGGCGGAGTGGCGACTGGAGGAGGGGTGGCGGGAGGCGGAGTGGCGACTGGAGGAGGGGCGGCGGCCGGAGGAGGGGACGAGGCGGGTGGAGGGGTGGCGGTGGGGGACGAAGCCGGGGACTGGGCGATGCAGGTGGCGAGGAGGGCGAAGGAGATGGCTAGAGCCAGAGCGGGCGCACGGGAAGCCATTGCTCGCCCCTCTTCTCTCTCTCTCTCTCTCTCTCACTGCCTCTGAGTGGGCTACTGGCGAGAGGAAGAGCCGTAGAGAAGGCGTGCTTGTGATTTTGGTTGATGAGAGGCAAGAGTGGGGAGGTTTGGTGATAATATAGGGCGGAACAGTGGAGAGACAAAGAGAGGCCAGCAAAGCTTGGAGAGGAAGGACGCTGCAATAGCTGTAAGGATTTCTGGTGGTGCCTTCAAGAGCATGTCTCGCTCCCTCACCACCTCCAGCCTTTTTATGCATTAAAAACCCCATGTGTCCGCTCTCTCTCTCTCTCTCTCCCCATCACGACGGTATTGTTTCCAGATCCGATGAGCCTACGAGGCGATCGAGTGTCTGGCGTTCGGTGGAAGGAAACTTGTCACGTCAAACCTATTTGTTAACTTGTCATCTTGTGAAACAACCAGGCACAAGATTACAACAAGTTGCTGTCACCGGCAACTCCAGTTCACGGCAATTTGGCCGCAAGGGAAGCAAAGTATCTCCACATATCTTATCTTTGCAATGGCAAACAAAGACTAGTTTCCAAACCCAACCACTCTGGAAAATACTAAGCTGACCTACCTGGCCATATCACTCTGAACTGGAAACATCTGTGACGCTTCCTTTTTGCTTGTTATGAGCTGCTGATGGCGCTCTCGAACACGAGGAAGAAAAGTGTGGCGTTGCTTGAGAAAAGTGTTATGGCGAAATGATGATTGCATCTTTTATTGCAAGCAAAGCAAAGCAAAGGTTCACATCCCCACCACAATACCATGATGGGAGCAAAGATATCTTCACCAACTGGGCTATCTTCCAACCACATAAATTTTGGCACTGTTAAAGGAATCTCTGGTTTATAAGCTTCATCACACTTGCAGAAGATGGCAATGCCCGAGCCTCCCACCTTAACTTACTTTGATGGTTTATTTCCCAGTTTCTGTAGACATTAGATCTTTGAATCTCTGCTGGTTTCTTCGGGTTGGTCATGAAGTCAGCACGCCACCAGATCGACCAAGAGCTTCTACTGGAGGGCGTCCATCGAATGGTGGTCGTGTGCTCCTCTGCTCCTCTCCGCGGTTGCAAGTTGTTCGAAGCAATTCCATATGATGCCATGTCATCCTGGAAGAACGAGGCAAGAGCATTCCCAAATTAGCCATATAATACAGCCGATTTAATTCACTGGATGATAGAATTTACAATGAAAATGCTATTTCAACCACAACCAGATCCTGTAATCCACATTCTCAGCATCTAGTTTTGCTAGTGGTAGGAAATAAAAATACAAACCGAAGATACAAAAGGAATCTTTAGGTAAAATGCAGACAAAAATTACACTCGAAAGTCAACTTGGGGTATCTTCATGCATGTAAAGACTGATATAGGATAAAAATATCTATTTAGGAAAATTCATTATACAACACATATGACAAAATCAACAACTGCATGGACTTAATAGGTAGAAGCAGCATCACCGACCAAAATATAAAGATATTGACATCCTCAACATTAATCAACCAGAGTTCTAAATACTCTGGTTCAAAAGTTCATCAACCCACAAGAGTATATAAATAATATGCTTAAGAACGGAAAGAATAGCTTTATAAATTCGAGAAATGAGAACCCTCCATAAATCTATTTCGTCCAGGAATACCAGTTAAATTAGTCCATACAAACACCATAAAAGAAGCCTGTTACGTTTTTCTTGTTGAATTGACTAGCTGGATCATCTCCTGCATTAAGCTGGACGTGACTAACAGCAACCATGTTGGTTTAATTTGTTGCACTATAAGTAATTTATGCTTTACCTTTTTTTCTGTTTAGGCTTCACCTTACAAACTTCAAAGAATGCAGCCTTTCACAAGGACCTATACTGTTCGATCAAACGTGATGCATGAAGACGTGAAGTAGGATTAATTGTGCATCCCAGATTCTGCAGATAAGAGATCTGCATAGGAGAAGAGAACAACATATTAGTTGGCTAAAGTCATATTTACTTATCAAAAGGGAAAAAGAATCTAAGGAACTTGAGGTCATGAAAATTGAATTGCTAATAGTAAATCTTTCAATCTATCCCGTGACAAACAAAAATTCATCAGCAAACAAGATATCTTATAAAACTGAAGTCATAACCTGTTTAGATGTAGCTTTGGATGATCCCATAGAGTTCTCGATTCTTTGTTTTTGGAAATGTTCCTGATAGCAAATTGATGCCAGTTATTATCTCAAATAAAATCTTGGAATTTTTATTGCTTTGGAAACCAGTTTAGAAGCTTCCTCTGTTGATAGACTTAAGCTGTAATTTACAAGAACTGGCATTGTTCTTTTCTTGAATACAGTAGAGCATTCTTTATAGATAACCAAAAGAATAATAAGATATATAAAGTAATGTACAAAATTATTTTCATAGAGCCGTAATTAGCATAAAAATGACAAAAATTTGTGTGCTATGTGCAATCACGCATGAGAGTCTCAATTAGGGTAATTTCTTTGCTAATGATAACAACAGAAGCTAGATAAATAAATTTTGACTATTCCACAACTCTACAAGTTTTAAGAGACCACTAGAGTAAAACACAACTCAATGCCATATCACAAAAGAATTTAAGACATCATAGGATTCATAGTTTATCTAAAATCTTAGTAGCCTCAATTTGATATGTTTTGGATAATATATTTCATTTATTTACCATAATATTATCTTTATACAATATGATAATTATTTTTTATAAAAATTATAAAATAGTCATAACGATATATTGTACAGTATTATTTTCATTTTATTTTTGGGAGTTTCTTAACTTTTACATTTTAGTTTCATATGTTCTTTTTAAGGACTGATACCTTACAAAAAATAGAGATAAGAGAATCCCCTAGCAAAACTATTTTTGTGATCAAATATTTGGTTTTAACTTATTCTAGGGTTTTGCATTTTAAAGTTTTTTATATTTTATAATTCTTAAATTATTTTCTTGGATCAATCTGATCATGTTAGTCCAATCCAAACAATCCTACTGATTCCATGGTATCGTCTCATTCAATCTCAATTCTCACTCATTTGTTAACAACATCCATACGGTGTGGAAAGTGAATGAATATGCATGTTCATTCAAAATAAAGAAAAGGGTAAAGATCATGCTGCTTTTTCCCAGATTATCACTATTTTTGATTGAGCATGCATTACAAACTCGAAATCTCAAGAAACACATCAAAATCGGTTTGCAGCTTTAGCCACAACTGCAACCAAAGCCTCCTTTTGACAGGATACAAGCAAGACAGTATCTTCATGTAGCAAATGCAGAGGAAAAGCAATCAAGCATCTGCTATAGTCCCAAAGAACCATATGAACACTTAATATGAATGCATAGGTGTTCATGGACCAATATAACCGGATAGACAATAATCTGTTCTGCAGTATTCATGCATACTGACCTGTTTTTCTCTATTTAAATGTGCACGTAGCCCAACAGGTATTTGTTCCCACTTAATAACCTGAAAAAAAAGAGAGAGACCATTATCATGGACTTCTATTTTAAATCTTTCGTCAATATTTTGAAAGCAAAAGTGAATTAATCTTGGCAAAAACTTACATATTGAGCATATTGGAGTGTTTCATCACCCTTCAAGCAAGATTTGAGAATTCGCATAACAACCTGGAAAATAAAAGCAATTAATGGAAGACAGCAAGAATAAATATAATAAAACAATTCCAGAGTCCAACATGGGTAGAAACAACAGCTTCTTGTTGTTGTAGTGTAGCAACATATAATAGTTCCAACAGGGATATTAGCTTTTTTTCGGCTGATACTTCGTAAATTCTACTGTATATAAAATTTGAACACGAGATATGTTCACACACAAATCTATTTATCTACATGGACTACCAATCCATCTGCCAGCCAACCATCCAATTAGTTTTGTATGAAAGCTTCATATGTTTCTGTTTGTTTTGAAATTCATTTTCTCACCATTAAACCAGAAACTTTCTTTTTTTTTATCTCAATTAATTTACCTAATTAATGGCTGCATAACAAATGATTTCTATCAATTGCAAAACTAATCAGTTCACATAGTCCGTGAAAACCTCAGAGCCCTTGACATTCAACTCAATATTATAAATCAGTAAATCTTGTAATGGCTTTGAATTCTGAACTTAACTAAGCATATGATTTTTCACAGATCTCAATGACAGCAAAAGATCCATATAGTCGACCCTATATAATTGAGACTTACGATTTTATCGTTTTTGTAGTAAATCCTATAATGGGCATTCTTTAGGCATAACTTGCAGTATTGATACCACAGTTGGATGTTCTCAAAATCTGGCTTATCAACTCTATTTTCAGCCGGACAGTGAAGTTGAAGCTTTTATAGAAACGCTTGTCATCTATGGCTCCCATCAACCATGTTAGATCTAGTTTACTTAATGCTTCTTTTGCAAACTCATTTTATATTATAACTTATAAGTAGAAAAAATAATTAAAACATGAATATTCAGCTAGCTAAATTGTAATGTCAAAATTCCTTAATCTTCATTCTTTCATCAATACACAATCAGTTGCATTATTTAATGGCAAAGTTGCATATATAAACATGTATATCCCTCCAAATTTAGTGACTTTCATATTTATTCCTCCAAATCTAAGTTCAGCATATAAGTTGTCGCAAAACCGAACTTGTATGGATGACTTTATAAATAACATACATTGATTTAATGAATACAGTAACATCAATGTGCTTCACAAGCCCCATTTTGAAGGTATAAACTTTATGGACATTTAGGTATTTCATATTTTTAATATTATTTCATTCAGACTACCTGATAACCGTGGCTAATTTTGGTCAAATTAATTTTTTGGATAAATATTAACAAGAAGGGTATATCTAGAGGATCTTTATATTAAATTTGTCATGGCAATTATGCAATAAAAAAAGTTACGAAGATAAATATGCAAGATAAGATTTAATTAATACATCCCAGGGTACTTCACAATAAACAGGCATCAAACAAAAAAAGCCATGCAGCATGGATGAAAGCTTTGAGATGAACGCTGGAAACAAGAAAGATGCAAGACAATGGTGCTATGAAATTAATAACTTAAACAACTAAAAGGTGACAGGAAAACAGAAATTTGAGATAAACATTTCAAAAAACTAAAGGATACTGGAGATCTGTTATTTTAAATATAATGGCAAAGCAAATAAATAGGCACTGAGGACCAGCAAAAAGGCACACTAAGTGGATTCTTACATGTTTCTAAATTAGTCAAAAGGCAAAAAACAGCAGACTATCTTTTTAGAGTACACCAAAAATTGAAGAAAACAAGTATATGACTGTGCTACAGAAAATGCCGTCTTCCTGAAACTTCAATGTGTAAACTTGGAACAACAGAAACAGCACGTGAGTTATAGGCTGACAGAGGTAAAAAAGCAACCAAACACTAAATATCATGTGCATGATGGGCACCATTCAGAGAAACATCATAGGACAGAAGAAGGTGGTACAAGCAACAACAATCAGACATACGGATATCTGGGCATAGAGAATAAAATTGTAATATTTACTGTTAGGCAGCCATCCAAAGGAGACATCATAGAAATTAAACCTTGTGTTTGTATGTCTTGTTCCTTAAACGTTCATCAACGACAAAACCAATCTGTGATCACAAGAAAAAGAGAGATAGAGAGAGAAAGAGTGTCAACAAACTTTGCATGATACTGATTTGCTGTAATTATGCCCTCCATGATAACAAGTAAACAATCACTAAGGTAACATTTTGTAAAGCCAGTAACACAAGGTGTGGATAAAATTTGCATTATAAATTAGAGATAGTTGATATCAGATGATTGACAGTTATGGTACTTTAATACTATAATTATTTAGTATCAATCATGCCATAGTGTCGAAGAGTAGCTCAGGCCAATTTCTGGCACATATTACTTGTTTTGCATAAATTTTTCAAAGAAAAACAAGCATATATTGTTGCAGATTTAATTTACTTGTTACAGCCTTCATAATCAGATTGGGGCCAAGGGCCAAATGTATTTTTCTTTTAGGAGGTTCAAATGCACGAGCTTGTTGCCAATGAGGGATCAGTAACTAAAAAAAAAGAATGGATGCCTGCTATAATTTATTCCATTGCCCTCTTTTTCTGTTCTATCATTTTCGTTCTTCTTTCCATATCATTTCTCCACCTCACTTCTATTATCTCTAAAATTTTCCATGGCAAGATTTAACTACCAAGATCAGTATCCATAGCAGAATTCTGTCAAGGGACAATGGAAAACATATATATTGAATATCCTTGAACATGATATTTATTGGTATTGGTACAATGGCAATAAGGATAACCAAACAATATGGCATGTACTGATCTAGTTTATTAAGTTGCATTGCATCTATGCTTTTTCTTCTTCCAAAGTTGATTTGCTGTTAAGTTGCAGTCTGGTAAATGTGAATTTAATTTTGTGACTACTATCAACAATTTACTTTTCTAGGACATGAATTATTTCCAGGAGATTCTGAAATTATAACATAAAACCTTCTCAATTTTACCCCAGAACAAACTATAACGAGTAGAATAAAAAGGCATAAAAGTCAAGAAAAATACTCCAAAAAGTACCTTGTCAAGCAACCGGTTTGGATGATGAAATGCAGGTCTTTTTGCCCATTGATGGAATAAACTAGAGACAATGGATCTCTCTTCCAAGTTGAACCTGCTAATGATATTATTAGCAGTATGAAAAGTTCATTCACAAGAATGATACGGTAATTATTAGAAAATATGCTAACTATAAAAAAAACATGATTAAATTATAAGTACCTCTTCAGAAATTGGTTGCCAAGGCATATCTCAGAGAATCCTTCAACACTTTCTGAAATATCATCAGGAGTCCTACCATTTTCATGAATTGTTTCATGTGAAATTTCGTATCCCAATGAATTAGAAATGTTTCTACTAGAAATTGCCAGGTCTTTGGAGATTGCCTCACCCTAATAAATTGAGCAAAACAAATGAAAATGGCTTTTAAGAAGTTATAAGTATTAAACTAATAAGAATATTATTTAACTCAAAAATCAGTCAACAGTTAAAAGATCAGAAAGAGAACAAATTGTTTAGGTACAAACTTAGTTGCACTTATATAAAGTTCTTTTTGCTACACAAGTAAAATGAAAACCAATGTTCAATTGAAATGGAACCACTTCAAACCAAAGTGAGTTGCAGAATAACAAATTGTTAGTAACAGCTGGATTTAACCATAACCAGGCTAGACTGACACTTAACGACCCATAGCACTTGTTGGCATCCAACCACAGGACATTGACATGCATTACCGCAATGACCCGGCTTGATGAGAAATTGGCCTGTTACCTTCGTTCAGTCCAAACCACTAGCCAAAATGCTTAAGTTGAAGTTGATAGCAATATACCTTTCAAACCCATAAGTCAACCTCAATCTTGTCCAAGGATTAAAATATCGTACCGTACCAAAGTTTCGAGATTTGCTCGGTACAGTACGATACTGTATACTAAGCGGTATATTTCGGTATACTGCTCGGTATATATATATATATATATATATATATATATATATATATGTGTGTGTATATATATATATGTGTGTATATATATATATGTGTGTGTATATATATATATATGTGTGTGTATATATATATATATGTGTGTATATATATATATATGTATATATATATGTGTATATATATACATATATATGTATGTATATATATATACATATATATATATATATACATATAAACAAGGTTCGCAATACCGTACCGTACCGGTATTTCGACCTGGGCTCGGTACCGGTACGGTACGGTATATCGAGCGGTACACCCAGGTGTTCCGAGTACTGTAGCACTGCTACAGTGCTACAGTACACTGCTACATTGCTGTAGTACTCTCGGACTGGTAACAGTCGGTCCGCGTACCGACAACCTGTCGGACCGGTACGTACCGCCCGTACCGGGCGATACGGCTCGGTACGGCAGACCCTGCATATAAATATATACATACATATATATATATATAAGGAAAAAAAAATCTGCGACGTCACCTCTCTTCTCCCCACGCGAGGCGACGTCACACACACACATATATATATATATATATATATATACACAAATACACACTGCCCAGTACGAACGGTATTATTCGAAATTGAAGACCTTGGTCTCATCCACTTCCGATATGGGATTAATCGGGATGTTACAATCTCCCCCACTTAAGGGCTTGAAATCAAACCATAGTATGATACATGTTAGGCATAGCCCAGTGGTGGCTCCATACCGTCACATTTCCTTTGACCTTGTCCACAAGTAGTCCTTTCCTACTTGCGCCCTCACCATGCCCTAATACTATTTCGACTTTGATACCAATTACCACGACCCAGCCTAATCAGATAATTGGCATGTTAACTTCGCTAAGCCAAAATCATTAACCAAAATACTTAAGCTACAGTTGATAATAATACGTCAATCAAACCCTTATAAGTCAATCTTAATCCTATCCACTTCCAACGTGAGACTAATCAAGATGTTATAATTACAGCACAATGGTATAGCCATTCTTATAACTGAACATGATAAATAGTTGTATTCAGTAATTATAACTTTTGTCAAGAATTTCAAGTATTCAAAATCATCATGAGAATGAGGTGAAACATCAAAAGAAAATAACGAGATTCCAATATAAAAGAACATGAAGTTTTATTCAAGGAAAAGATAATAAAACAAAATTATAAAAATACTAGAAAGCAAGCATAATGTCTAAGCAACATCATAAGTGTGAAACTGTCAACTGAAGAATGCACCTGTATCTCAAGAAGGTGGCCTGGAATTTCTCTGAGGAATCGTGAAGGTTGCAACAACTGAAAATGACAAGTGAAACATCAGCAGACCTACAACTTAGGGAATATGATATTTCAATACAATATATCTATATGATATTACAATGCAATATATCATTACCTGCCAGTTGGAATCCATAATGATGTACACAACATACAACTTCTTCCTAGCACGAGTCATTGCAACATATAGAAGCCTTCGTTCCTCCTATTATATTTCATAAAGCATGCAGAGCAATGAACAGAGTGGTGTACATTGAAGAAGCAGCCAAAAGAACTTTATATTTGAAGGCTCACCTCAAGAGTGGTCCCACCATGGACAATGCCATTATACTCATGAAGCAAAGGAATCTCATTGTCATTTGCCTAAAGTCAATGAGTTGTCAAATTGAGGAATGCATGTAGAATGTGATAAACAAAATATAAACTTGGCAAGGAACATGATATAAAAGAAAAAAGCCTGGATATCAAAGAATTTCTAAACATCAACAATTATGATCATTCACATATCTTGGTGCAGATATGCACGAATCAAGCAGCTTCAGAAATTAAGTATATAAATTTATTGGAAGTAGCATGTTTGATGCTCTAAAGTCTAAACCATGACTCGAGTGGGTGAAAAGAAAGGAGAGAACTACAACCATTTGGCTATTGGTCATTTTCACCAGTCTGAAAACAGAACAGCACAGTGCCTAACAACAAATAGTCATCAGCACAAAATAAGGTCAATCATAATAGGCATGAGACACACAAGGTCAAACAGTCATTCATACATAATTTCTTTGTCATTTTCAACTTTACTAAGATAGTATTTTTGGTTTTGGGTAATTACATAAACAACAATGAACAAACTATCTACATAATTTTGATGCCTTCCAATTTGGCAACTCTGTGACTAGCCTTCTAGTCATGACTTCACTGAACAACCTACAAGGTACACACAAGGATGGGTTAGAATGCAAATCCATTGCACAATAAAATTAAAGCAACAAAGGTCCTTGAGTGAGGTTTTGATTATATTATAAACCAATTTCATGTATCACACCTCCAGCATGCAAGAAATTTGATAATCAGAGATCATACCGCCTCAGATGGTATGAAAAATGTCAAGAGTACCAGATACTTGGCTCTGGGTATTTTAACTGATTTTCTTTGCAAAGTATTTTATCCTAGGAAGACAAAAAACAATTACTACAGTTTTTTAAATGTAATCATTTTGGCTAAAAAGCAAGAATAAATTCCATTAACAGGAGACCTTTATGCACAAATAACCAAATAGTGCTTTTAAGGTTAACAGCTTCAACTTCTAAGAACATCAAATGAACAGAACTGCAATAAATTCCAAGGTTCTCAATTTCGGTCCATGCCTGTACAGTACGTACCGAGGCATACCGGCAGTACATCGGGGTGCACCATCCGGTATGCCTCGGTAACCGTCGGATTTCGACCGTTACCACCTGGTACAAACCCCATATCGCCTGATATAGAGACAAAATATTGGTACCGCCTAGTAGAGGATGGTCCGCATACCGGTATCCTGTCATATCAGTACGTACCACCCGTACCGAGCGGTACACATCGAAATTGAGAACCCTGATAAGTTCTGCCACGAAATATGCATTTTTCTTGTTAATAATACAAGTAAACAAACATTAGCATTAGAAGTTTCAAGCAATACTAGTACATTAATGTATAGCTTTTCAGAGGTTGCTTGTAGTTAAAATGATTATTGCAGGACTTTACATGCCACACCATATTTTGGTTGTGCACTGCAAGCAAACAAAATATACATTTTCCCAAGCCATCAAACTGCAAGAATATTAAATATAGACTCCAACTCTAACTTTTCTTAAGTTACACAATTAACAAGCCAAAAAATCTCAGTGACACTTCCTGCAACAAAACTTACAAATACATGTGTATGTGAGACACGTGTGTGGCAGTCAGTCAATAAAAAAGCACAGTCAAAGTTCTAGTAATCTGAAACCAACTAAAGCAACTGATACAAAATATATTGGTATAAATTGTCATAATATGAATGAAAAACTTTAAAGTAAATGAAAATGGTAATTGTATCAAAATTGCTCATGTGGTAACATACCTTCACAATGAAAACTACATCCCATTCTAGACCTTTTGACTGAAGAAGAGAAAAGTATGTTCAGTTGCATGCTTATCATTACAACAATGAGCAGAAAATGATATTGTTGGTTACAGAAAAAGAACCTGATGAATAGTAGTCAAAGTTACTGAGTTTTTATTTTCTTGCCTTCGGAAGCGAAAGTTTTCAGTTTCCCTCATGGTTATGAAGTCAATAAAGGACTTCAGAATGCTCCCACAACCTTCTTCTTTACTCAAATTTTGAACGTCTTTGTTAGTGAAATGCATGGACAAGAAATCCGACACATCATCCATTAAATACTGAACTACCTGCATATGTACAAAAAGACAGTTAAGAATATGATGTAAATTCTGGGTTGTGCAAGTATATTGCAGTCCAGTTTGGTTATCAATTTATCAGCTTTTTTTGGATCTTCACATTCTACAGGGTTGGCATATTTCAAGTGCCAATTATTCATGACTTTCAACTTTCAAGGTCATAGACTCATAGTTCATAGCCATGTTTGAGCATTTTGTTAAACAGTAAACTAACAACAAAGACATAGAAGCATATGTGCAACCCTCTACATTCAGTCCAGCCAAAAGAAAATACTTTCATCCATCTTGGTGCCACCAATATTTGATGATCATGATGGGAACAAAAAATAGTTGTCACGGGAAAAGAAAACATTTGAAGATTTCTCTGTTCAGTTTCTTGCATAAAATGGTATGCATAATAGCCTGTCAGCAAGAATTGAAGTGGTCAGCACAGCAGATTATGTGAAATATCACAATGCACCACCAACATGCACAGTAGTGCAACATCCAAACAGTGGCATCCACATATCCAACAAAGTTTTATACTTTATAGAAAGGGTAAAAGCTTGACCCCGAGGCAAAAAGGATGAGAATGCTGAGCTATAGCCATTATTTTTATATACTCATAAAATGTAAAGTAAGTGACTAGCATGTTGCATTGGCATACAGATCTTAGATCATTGTCCTCATTCAGCAACTTCCCTCCTTCTACATCAACTACAGCACGTTTTTCAAGAAGATATTTCTGCAAACGTAAGAAGATAGTCAGCAGAAACATAGAGACAATTTGCAACCTGGATAACATATTCTATAAGCATGTTTCCATGGGTTTGCATATGTGCTTATTTATAAAGTACCCATATAATTAAATTAGAAAACAAATCATCAAACAACAAAATCAATGTTGAAATTTTAGTTTGCCATGCAGGAATCAGTAACTGGAACAAAGATCCAATTGATGATGACAAATGTTTTAGTGAATTACCCCTGGTTAATGCCCAACTAAGGTAAGCAGATATTATCAATATCATAGTCAAAGGGTCAAGATATTCTAAAATATACAATGCAATAATGTGTTGTGCCAAAAAAATGTTTCATGTTCAAGCTACATGGAATCATGCACTAAGCTCCAAAGAGAAATCATCAACAAACGCTTTGAAGAAAAGAATGAAATCAGTACAATAATAGAAACAACAGGGATTTCATGAGGCGCTAGATGGATAAAAAGAAATTTATCATATCAAGATGACCATTGAATTTTTTTCATAGCCTGAATTTTTTTTCATTATATTTTGATGTATACATTTGTCAAGATTTGGTCATAACCTCAAAGAATATTCTCAATCCAACAAGTTATGAAAATAGAGAACTTCCTACAAATGTCGGTTTGATATGTCACTCCAAAATTTCACTGTCTTGCTCACACTTATTATTTTTCATGTCAAGTAATGGAGTAAACCTGAAGGATACACTTCTTTATCCACAGTGTCACCCTTTTTTAAGAAATGAACTAAACCTGGCACATTATGTATCCAAATCCAATACAATCTTGTAACATTTGACCTATTAATTTCTTCTTTTAACATACAAGTTCCACTGCTTGCATATACAACATTTCTATGACTAACATCATTCTGAATATTTCAAATCTCAATCTGAAATATGTTTTGTTGCTGAGTTAGAGACACTACGAGCAGCATACTCTCATAATGCCTATTGAGAAAAAATTGTCAAGTAAGAAGATATAACAAATAACCTCCCCATAAATAGAAAGGCTCAAAGCAAAGATGCAGCCAAAATTAACAAATGAACATGGATAAACTGCAGAATGGTTCACACTTCACAATCCTAACAAGCAAAGAGTTTGTACAAAAAGACAAAAAAATTGCATTGGTCTGCGCTAATTTACCTAAAATAAAAAGTCTGAACTACAAATATTGGAAAAATTTTACATGTATCAACACAAAATAAATTCAGCAAAAGAATGTTTAGCAAGTATTTAAATGCTGGTGCATATAATGCAAAGAGGTCACCGCACCCGTTACAAGTTCCTATTGATCAGTTGTACAGAAGGTATTAGATTCTATCACACAATAACTGCTTGTGTGAAGCCATATCAAACAAAACCAAATCAGATTGTTGAATTGGTACAAAGAAATACCTCCAATAACTTCTCCATGATCTATTCTTGTTCTCTTTGATTTGTAGTCATTTATCTCTTCTTTTCTGACTAATCCTTGTTAAATTTACATTAATATAATTAAATACATGACTTCTTAATTTATAATTTAAGTCAAGCCAAAATAACCAACCAGAATATAATAAATCATGTTTTTAAAAAGAATCCAGATCTTGCAGCAGCTGAAAGTGTTCAAACTTTGTGGCTTTAAAAGTTAAGGTATTTATAATGTTTCTTAAAAAACCATTTTTATCCAAAACAATCCAACCCCCAAGTGTTGGGAGTTCTTATCACATTATTTGCATTCTTCAACAAGTACCATTTCAGCATAAGCAACACTAGTTATAAAGGCAAACAAGTCATATGATCAATTTAGGTACTAAATAATTGTCTTGTACAGTTTCTAGTCTTATCAACATAAACTGAAACTAATTTATACCTACTTGCTTCACAAGTGGACTTAAGCATCTCTCCCAATTAAGTTCATGTGTTGCTTTCTACTCTAGCAACCACATTTCACCCGTGGCATATTTGTTCACATCCTTCCAGTTATCTCTCTTACATCTCCAGATTAAAAAGAACAACCTAAAAAAGGAGACCCCTGAAAAAATCAACCTTACCATGGCAAACAAGTCCTATCCATATTATAGTTAGATATTTTACATTAATGGTTATATAGACAATATCCAAAAATTTCTGACAAAAACTAACTCTTAAGTCCCAAATATGTACCATTGCACCACACATTCATGTCTGAAATCCTTGTTCCAGAATGATAAAGATTTGTATGACAATTTTCCAAATACAGTGAAAAGCTTCAACTTGATAACCTAACAATCATTCTATCTTTTGTATCGTAGTGATACTATCCAGATCATATTTGATATACAAATTACAGAGGTACATAGAATCACTAGTAAAAATTATAAAATGCAATCTATAAGCACAGGACAAGAAGTTGCTTAGATCTCTCTTCCAAATTAAATGAACATCAAATTCTTTTCAACATTAGATGAGGGAAAAATAAATTCAGGGCAAAATAGAACCTAAGTTCTTTGTTTGGACATAGAACTTATACTGAACCTGAGGTAACATATTTGCTGCAGAAGTGATGACCATTGAAATTGATGGTTCCTAACAAAATCAACAGAAAACAGAACTTCTAAGTTAAAATTGTATTGAGCCATACAATTATCTTATATAATAATTTTAAGGATATAAAAATTTAGATGATAAAACAAGCTACCACTAGTTCTCTTTAGATTTCCCAATTAAATGAGAAAGAATGTACTCAAAGAAATAGATAAAATAAGAACTTGTATGCACAGCAGATGTAAAGATCACTACCTTTGTTATTGCATAAACTTAAAGAAACATCTTAGACTATAATGCAAAAAAAAGGGGTACATTCATTTTAAAGCATAAATGAGATGGAAAACCATAAAATTATATGCCAATGAAGCAAAATAAGTCAATAGAAAGATGTGTGTCATCACAAAAATATTTGTTAACAATCTTATGTAAAATGCAAGTGTGATGTGTACTGAAGTAAATAAGCTTAATGTTACAATTAGGATAAACATACAATAAAGCTGAACCAATGTTTTTTGCTAACAATACAACATTTTAAAATGCACATTATAAGCATCTCAATTATAAGCAAATTTCTCATATATGAATATCTTATCATTTATCAATTTAAACAGCTAATTCCTGAACCTCCCACTTAATATCTTACAAAATTCAATTGGTATAGCGTTTATGTGGAGAAACATAACACTCATATGAAATACGTATTCATCATAACATCACTAATTTCGACCTTATGTCAGATCATGACAGGTTTATAGTAGTCATACTGAAAAAAAAAAGTCGTACGGAAATTTAATTCAGCAACTGAGGCAAGACCATCACTTACTCTTCTTACAAGTTTGGATAGCATATCTAGTGCAGACAAGACTTTCCGTCCTTGAGTAAGCTGAGACCTATTAGTGAGTTGTTATAGAAATTCACAGATACAAAATTATTAACATAAATAGAAACATTCACATAACACAAGTCATGACAGTCTCAACTTTCCTGTGGCTTTCCGAAGATGAAGAAATGATAGTAGTAGAAATTATATGCAAGCCATAAATTAATTTAAATAGCAGGTACAAAAAATTCATATGTAGTTTCACCATATTTTTATAAAGTATAATTAATTAAAAAAGAGATCATTACTATTGATAAGATTCTTTACCACAAGATCAGAGAAGATGAGCATTGTTTGGTGTTGTAGCTCTGTGGGTTACTAACATGATGGTTATGTCAACAGAACAAGGCTACTTAATACAATTAATAAATCATTTTCTTATTGAAAGAAACTTTTTTCTAGTAGATATAGATGAGAAAATAAAATCTATTGAAAGCAGGATCAAACGAGATGAATCCCACTATCAATCATACCAAAAGTCTAAAGTGAGGATTCCAAGTTACAAGCCTATGAGTAGTCTTACCTTAATATCAATTATCAAATTGTGAAGCCCTTCAAAAGACAAACTCAGCCTTACAAAAAATTAATGTTCTCGGTTAAAATCCAATAAATTTAGTTTTCTTTTCAATACCAGTGGCATCCAATACTCATTGAACAAGCAGCAGCATAAGAGTTAGAATGAAGTTCAGAGATTCTAGAGTACCGGAGTCAGTGGAACTTTACTAGAAAATAGCATATGGTGATAACTATTGCATGCCATACTTCAAATATACACATGCTGTCTGTTTAGATACCAAATATAAGTTTCTTGAACAACAAACCTTTTGAAGGTACCCGAAACCTTTGCATGAAAGATGTCGTTTGCAGCTGTTTGGAAGCTACATTTCCTTGCTGAGGAAATCCTTTCAACATAATCAACAACCTGTAAGCGACAACAATAGTCATCAGCCGATGACTTTTTGAACTGACAATGCGAACGAAATACAAATTTAAAATTGGGATGCAACTTGGATTGGTTGAAAAACAAACCAAATCTGACCAAATTGTTGTCCCCAGTCCCAACTCTACCCAAAACCCATCTAATTGCACAAAATATTCTCTCAACCATAACCAAACCATTCAAGTCAATTATGCATCATGTCATAGTTAGATATATGTATGTTGAGATGTCATACCTACCAAAACCATGTCAGCTATATATGGACCCATGCAAACAATGTGCATGTACACATTGCATATCTCAGACACAATGCAGCTTGGTGGGTGCATGCAGAACAGCAGAACAGCAGTGTCTATGGTCAAATATCCATAATTTAGGACACTGACAAATATTAAAAAAATTCATCTTTGCACTTGGGGCAATGTCGCAACTAGTGAGGTTATAACAAAGGCAAGGCAATTGCTGGATCAAATATAAAAACTTCAATAAAATAATTTTAAAATATGTAACATACAAGTAATATCAAATAAAATCAAACTTTTCAAAGGAACCAAAATATTTCATGTTTTAAGAGAGACAAATTTCAAAGTTTTTGTGGGATGCGTACAGAAACATGGCCCAATATAACACATGAAGGAGTGAACCTTACATCCAAAACAAAATGTCACTAAATTTTCATCCATTCCAATCAACGCAAAATTAATATATTCATCATATATTGAAACATATACTTATATCTAAAGAACATTATATGATATTAAAATCAAATTAAAATACAACTGCATCTTTTATTTTCCCTAGTATTTTAAAGACTTGAAAAAATCAGCCTTCATCATAGCCTGGCAAATGCTCCGAAGTATTAATGTCTTGAAAGGTTTGTGACATGTAACACTATAATCAGGTCAGATTGGAAGGATGGAACCACCAAGTTGCAACCAGATTGGAGAATTAGAGTGCCTTAAGAGTTAAGACGGTCATAGATGAGAAGCAAAAATGAGCACCATTTTCTTTTCTTCTTTATCACCAGGTAAAAGTGCCTTGAAGGCTTGGCGAAATGGACCATCATCACAGTCAGGAAATGTGGTTCTGAGTATTGCCATAATAGCCTTTATTACCTGTGATATACAAAGCATTTTGTCAACTCAAATTGCAGTGCTATGAAAAATTCTACTATTAAAGAATAAAAGCAATTCGGTGCATCACATTCAAAGGAACCTATAAAGCAGAAGGTTAAATTTTAATTGATCAATGATGATGCTGAACAATCTATTTCAGAGGAAGAAAACTCGACAAGATGAAATGTCATTGCAGTATAACCAGGAAACCCAAGACTTGTTCACAACAAATTACAGACCTCACATGGCTGACATAATCCCTTGGTTTCTGATTGGAACCATATATATGTCATGTGAATGCAATGATTTCTTATTCAAGTTTCCACTAACAGCATTTGTCTGCTACATGCTCTAACTAGGTGACATTTTAGATACCACTTAAATGTATCAAAAAGCTTGAGAGTAATTATTGCCTTGAGAAACTGTCTCATGTATTACAAGAAGATCATACAGACATGCAAAACAAAAGGCAAACATCACAAGCCCTTACAAGTTGCTACATGAAGACTGCATACTGATGTTTTAGTTGAAACCACAAAATTAAAGAACTTACAGCTGAAATCAGTAAAGGTCCTAGTGAAATAACTTGTGGGATAGCCCAGTCCACGAGGCTGCCACAAATACATGGCCTAGGGAGGGTCAACAGGCACCATCTTCCCTTTGTAAGCCAAAAGGTAGTTTCCATGACAAACTCAGGTCACCCAACCCATAAAGCAGGAACCTCACCATAGGACCAAGGCTCACCCTATCTTATGTTTCACCAAAAATAAACTGAAATTCCAAATAAATTTCAGATTGGACCAAAGTATCAACAAAAGAACTACGATATAAAAGATAAACTATTATTTAGTTAGCACTGTAATTAATCAGAAATTGGACCTGATGTAAACCTGATATAGAGACAAAGTTCAACTGTCAAACAGATCAAAGTTAAAACTAACAAATATGGCCTACCACAGAGGAGAGAAAAGATTAATAATGGTTTTTAAAAAGTCATGAATAGGGTGTTAGAGAGAGAGAAAGGCCAATCAAAAACTCTTTTAAGTAGCAAAAACTGCTCAAAGAAGATATTTGACTGGAATCTAGTTTCTAGTAGACAATTACAAAAATAAGAAAACTAAATAAAGTCGATATGAGAAAGTCTACTTCAACCAAATTTTTGCGAAAACAATTCCAAAATTAATGATTGACTAACATAAGGAAACCTGATATTGAGCGACCATGATGTTATATCCACAAATGCATGACACTACATGAAGCATAGGCAATCTTTACCCCTAAAACATCGTCACAACTGTTGCTTGATTGTATAAACATAGCAAGAGTAAAATCAAACTGGCATTTATTTCTATAGAAAAAACCTGGGTTCAAAGGCATATTCACTCCAAATCAAAATATAAAGTGCTCCAAGAGCAACAACAGATTGCAACCTTAGCTAGCTCTAATTCCAGGTAATGTTGTGAATTTAAGAGTTGCTCATTTATAACAGACCAGTTCCTAATCAAATTAGAGCCACAATGGACATTGTCAATCATCATGCTGCTATGTAAAATTTATTTGAAGTACCTCTAGGGGTGCAGAAGGTCAACCCTTAGCATTTTATAAAAAAATTCTAATTGTAGAGTGATATTCAGCATAATTAATGTAACCAGCTAGATTAGCTTGTAGTTAATCAGAACTTCAGAAAACCAGCATCCTCAAGCCAGGCTATAAATATAAAAAATGCATATCATACCTATTACTATACAAAGAGAAGTTTATTAGATGGAGAAATCACGATCATAAAACAACCCAAAAGTAGGGCAAGTTTAAAGGACAGTAAGGTACTCGAGAAAAACATTCTTTGATCACTTTCCTGCAATATATCTCATGATGGGACAAGCAATTACCAGATGCAAAACAAGTGCCACATAAACCAAGGCACAACCAACACAGGCTAGATAGAAAACATTAAAAGGCAACAACATTGGGAATTGGAGGACAAGCATAAACCTTTTTCCGATAAAAGGCCACCCCATGAGAATTAAAGGGTATTTTCCTGTTTCGAAAGCACATCTGAAATGCTCTACCAGAAACCTGCATGAGACAGAATAACAGTTGCAATTAAAAGGAACAAATTTAAGATGTAATGTCACACAAATACTTACTTGTCTCCGATAAAGTATTGCAACATTGCCAAAGGAACAGTCAGCATTCTGGCCATCTGATGCGATTTCTAAAATTTTATCAGCAACAAAAGCACATTGTGCCTCTTCATTGTGGCATTCCATAACAATAATCTGTATATTGTTAAGAAGCACAATTAAAACAGTAGATGATTATGAGCTTTGTGTAAGGCGAAGAGATTTATAAAGTCTACAGATAACTTTGATAGGGGTACCTTGCTCCCAGTGGAATTATCAGTCTCAACTTGCTTAATATGGCAACGTTTATTGTTATTCAGTATAACAGCTGATGCTGCCTCAACTATGCACCAGGTAGATCGGTAATTCTTGTTTAATCTAATCTGCAATTATTTATAGCAGAAATGCAGAGTTAAGAGCTTGAGATATATGTCAAATTCTAGTGCTCATTATAAAGAAGTTGAAACTAAGAGGAAATAATCAGCCAATCAAGGACCTCTCTGTGAGTGGGAAAATCTTTCCGGAAGGAGTCAAAACCACAAACATCAGCACCATTGAAACTGAATATAGACTGAAATTTCAGAAATGTGAAGCAATATAAGTATCTGGCTTTAGCGGATCATAACTTTTAGAATAGAGGAAAAAAGCAACTGCATCAAAGAGAGAGGAGAAACAGTTAAAGAAAATGAAATTAACAACTGCACACCTGATCTTCATCACCTACAATCGTCACACGATTATGAGAAGCTAGAATTTTTAAAAGATGATACTGCATCGAACTTGTATCTTGAAACTCATCTATAACTATGGCCTTCCAAGTGTTCAAGCACTCATTGTACACTAGATATTTAAAAGAATAAGTTAATTGCAACAAATAAAATCAGCCTTAAGAATGACCGGATGACATAAAGAGAGAATGCTGATAATAACCTTCAGGAAAATCAGTGAGTAGCTTTACAGAAGAGCTAATAAAATCATGATAGTCCAAAGCATTGCAAGAGGTAAGAATTTCATCATAGTGTCTGAGGATCATAGCCTGGTCCAGATCAAACAGGATAAGATGAAGTGATGAACCATTACTATCACAATTGGTAGGAATAGTTGTTCAACGGGAAAGGTCACTAGCTTACTCCAATTTCATCACCAATCTTATCACATTCTTCAGTTGCTCTGCCAGAAGCCTTAGCCTGCCAATAGAACATATATGTGGGTATGCATTGCACAATGTAAATGCACTGACATGTGCTTTGAAAGTGTTCTTTGCAGTCTGCCTCTGAAAATGATTCACAACCAAATTTCACACTATGAAATTGGTACATTCAACAGGCCAAAAAGCATAAGATATTTGTAATGTTGTGTGATATATTTTTAACAAATGGTGACATATATGCAACAACAATTCAACACAGCATGGTTCACGAGAAAGCAAGCTTCTGAAAACACAGTCACTGTTCACATTAAAAGAAATGCCTTATCGACATTCATCTTAACAGCTTCAGACCAGGACTTGGTGCCTTAATATACTGAGCAGTACAATCCAAGGAACCATATGTGCTGCATGGCTCAGGCTGATTTGGCTATTTATTATGCTTGTACATTTGAAGTCATCACAATACAAAATAAAACACTGGCCATCGGATGCACACTTGGCATGCACCAACCTAATCCTACCTGGCAGGCTGGCACCACATTTGAAAGTGGCAATAATTGCTTGCAGTAACCAATTGAAAGCTAATTGCTAAGCCATAGTATATCGAGCATGTCAAATTGTCAATCATGTACAACAATTAAGTTCCATTGCATGTCGGAGTTTGTACCCACAAAATATTTCCTAAGTAAAAGTGATGTTCAATTTAGAACTTAATAAAACAAAAATGAACTAGGCTTCATAGTAGATAAATTACTCAAGGCCAACGTATACAGTCAATATATGAATCAACCTAACAATCAACAACACAATATCAAATAATTACACAAGAAACCTACTGCAATTGCATACTTATAATGCCCCTATTCACTACTTAGTTTCTTTTTTCAGATTTATAAGTTAAACTATAGTAGTCTGGAAAGAACATAAATTAAGTTCATAAAAATCCAGAAAGTGACAAAAACACTAAATTCAGAGAGTTTGTAAAAGAGAACTAACAAAGTTCATAAGTGAAGAAGGCAATTGATCAGGCTTCATTTTCAAAAGTTTTTTAGCCAATCTAGAGTCCATCCATCTAATAACAACATTAAGACAAATTCTGTAGCAATATAGTAAGTGAAACATGATTTTTCCATATTAAAAATTAAAAAATCAATTATAAGATACTAAAAGTGTACCTGTGTAACAAACTTTAGCCACTTTTTTGACTTTTCCTTTAAAGATTTGGCAATATCAGTACTCGGAAGATCTTCAAACTTCTGAACTGTAGTTTCTTGTGCACTGTTTTGATCATTCTCCATTATACGCAAGGCCTCAATAACAGCCCGCCGTTGTTGCCCTGGTCCATATATTAAGAACTCAGGGGTGCGGCCCAACCTATGATACATCATACATCAGACAGGAGAAAAAGCGTAAACATTGAAGCATCACTATTCAGTATTTCCTGTAATGCAATAATTGGACCAAAAATATAATAGGAAAAGAAAATTTTTAACAACATCCAGAATAGAATTGTTATATTATTGCCTAAATCAAGTAGTTCTATGTGTTGTGGCTCAACTAAGAGCCTAGGTAGATAATTTTGGCAACATTGGTAGCAAACGAGCTCCCTTTTGAGGTCTCTTCAAGTTAGTGCAGATAAATTGTTTAAAAGTTTAAAGCACATAAAATGCAGAAAACATATCATTCTTCATCAAATCTCAAGCTAGTTTTAGTCAGATGCTTACAATCAAAGAATGTAATCCATACATAAAACTAGAAGCTAGTATATTTATTATATATTCAGTGGATTGTAGGAAATACTAATCAGCAACAATTCAACAAAAATGTGCATAACTATGCTTGTTGATTGAGCTCATAGCAGTGGACTGTTTGGGCTCTACACCATTTACAACCATGAATGTAATTATAAATCTGGACCTTCATCTTCCCATGCATAAGGTTCCAAGAAATTTAAGGATGAGTTGAATTAGGAGTCGAATAAGTGCATTTCAGAAGTGGATATATGTGCATTGATACCCTTCCCTACCCAAGATTAAATACTTGGTTGTTAATATAAACTTCTTTACCGAAAGAACAGAAATTGATAATCATGTACAAACTTCAAGGTTGACTTTTATTAAAACTTATGAAAGAATAATTAGTATTAACTAATTACTCAAATGGCTAATTAGATATTATCCCCTGTAATTAGCTATCTTTAGCATCTCGATCCCTATACTTTCAAAAGTTACATTAGGATCCCTATACTTATGAAAGTGAAATATTTAAGCATGATTCTCCTTACGTCGTCGACTCAGCTGACGGAAATATCATAAGGTTTACTACTGAGCACATGCTGACTCTACCTCACTTTAGTTTATCACTAAGCACATGCAGTATTTCTATCAGTAGAGTCAACGATGTGAGGGGAAACGGGATTAAATGTTTTACTTTCGTAAGTATAGGGATCCCAATGTAACCTTTGAAAGTATAAGAACTGAGATGCTAAAGGTAGCTAATTACAAGAGTTTATCTGTAATTAACCCTTACTCAGAAGATAGAACAAAATGGATGACAAGATTCTCGTTATAACACAAAATAGAAACAAAGACTATTTAAATGGAAAAGAAATATGATTTTAAGATTTAAAAGATTTAAATACTAATTGTTAGATTTATCGTTGCATTTTATTGACAAGCAAATATGTCCTCTTATAAAATATTGTGTATTAAAAAACACAACATAAGATGCAAAAATACAAACCATACACAAGCATGTACATATAAATGCAAATGCATATAAACCACAATTATTTCTAGATGAAAGGTGTTTATATGTTCCTTTGAAAGAGGAAGTTTTTGAATTCATCTAAACCGTAGGAGTCTTTTGTGACTAAAGCCTCATCATAAATCTAAAATGTGACTTTTTCTTTTTCAAATCAAAAAACTTGGAACAATATCTCCAATCTACAAAAAAATTAGAGTAATCAATGTTGCCTGTCCTTCACCCAGTGCCAAACCCCACTTATCAGTAAATTAGATACAAAGTAAGGCTACACACTTTGTATCAGATACAAAGAAAGGCTTAGCAATGTTCCAGTATTAGATACAGGAAACAAGCACACTATCCTCAAAATCAAGATCGATGACAGCATTCTTCACAAGATAAAGGCATTTATTTCTACAATTAGAAATGGAGCTACACACTTTTCTGCATGTCTCCTGCAGAGCTGCAAACAAAACGAGTGGAACGTGCTAATTTCAAGGTCTGTTGCGACATCTTTTCCAGCCACTGCTCGTATCCGATCCCTCATCTCCGATGCAGCAGCAGTGGTGAATGTCATTGCAAGAATGTTCGAAGGGCCAAACCCCTAGAGAACACACAGAGTTTTCCAATAGCAAACAAAACAAATGTATGTGTTGAAAAATATCGTACCAAAGCCATCTAAACAATTGTCAGTGTTAGAGTCAATATACCTCTTTGAGCAGTGTCAACACCCGCCCAACCATTGTTGATGTCTGAATAATCACATCCATAAAAATTGTGAGGAAGAAAAAAGTGTACGTGCGAAATGGTTGAGGGCGAAGAAAGACACCTTTCCACTTCCAGGTCCTGCTACGATCATCAACGGTACAGAGACGTCGCTGCAAGCCGCTTCCCTCTGTGCATGGTTAAGGGATTTCAAATAATCCCAGTACTTGTGCTGCTGCACGGGCCAATCGCCGGCATCCCTATTGAGACTTCCCTGCAGGTCCAAATCCAACTCCTCGCAGCTATCCACCACACGCCTCCAGGAAGCTTTCCCGTTCTCCTCGCTCGGCCTCTCCTTCTTGGCCGTGGACCTCTCTTCGCAGAGGGCGTCTACGTCCCGCAGGAACGCCTCATCGAAATCCTCGTCGATCACGCTGCTAGACGGAGAAACGATCGAACCTCGATGACAACTCCGAGGTGTGGGGTTCATCGGGGGCGTCGAACACCCATTCTTGATCTCGGATAGCGGAACCCTTCGAGGACACCTGAGGAAGACGAAGAGGGGAAAAAAGATATGTCAGCGGCCGAATCAAGGAAAACGAGGCAGAACAAAACCAGATCAAAGGGAGGGCGTCGAGGACTTGGAGGAGGGAGGAGGAGAGCGCGCGTCGCTGGATCGCTTGCAAGCGAGGAGGAAGAAGGGTTTGGTCGCGCGGAAGGTGTGGGGGATTCGGCTGCCGCGCTCGTAGTTCTCCTCGAACCCCTCCATCTCCCGGAACGGCGACCGAGATGAGAGGAGAAATCGGAGGCGGTGGTGGTAGCTGCTAGTGAGGGGGAGGGAGTCGTTTGAAGGAGGCTTGGATTGGTCAAAGGGCGGGACTGTGGAATTCCAAATCAGATCTTTCTTGGGTTCAACTCAGCCCGGCCTGACGGGCCGGAAACGGTTCTCGGCCCAAGACATATTTCACGATCCAGCCGCTGTCGTCATAAAGTGACATGGGCAAAATTACACATATATTTACAATTATTTCACAAAATACACATATTTTCTTTTAATTTTTATTACAACGTATATATTCTGCATAAACATATATATATATATATATATACAATCATTCCGAATATTTTTTATATAATATATAATAAATAAACATATATGTATATGTTATCATTGTTCTAACTTCTATGTTAGTTATTTTAAAAATGATATTATCGTATAATTTATATTAGGTGATTTATTTGAAAATAAAATTTTCAGAAGACACTCTTCTTCTTCTTCTTTTTTTAGTGCCTCTTATTTATTGTAATTCTATGAATATATATTTTTTTCAACTACCTCCATGATGGATAAAATCTTATATTGACAAGCAAAGCAACGAATAAGAGATGATAATAATGAGCAAAGTTATACAATAATGAACAAATAGAAAGTGACAAACGTATGATGAGCAAAAAAAAAAAAAGTATTATACAAAAAATGGTTAAACTTCGTTCGAAAAGTGAGAATAAATATGATAAGTACGATAAATAAAAAAGGTACTATATTGAGGCAGAAGATCTCATAGTGGGAGTACGGGGCAAAGACAATGAATATAAGTGATTAGATAAAAATAATAGAGACGACAAGGAAATGATATTTATAAAACTATAATAAATTAGAGTACGATATGAGAAAAATAAAAAGGTCAGCCTTTTTTTAGATTTTTTTTGAAAAAAAAATCCATTTATATTTATAAAAGAATATTTGTCGGCACTTCTCTTGTGCTTGCGAGACATTATAACAACATTGAAACCTCTACTTTATATTTGAGGTGTACATTCCACTGAGCTCAACTAGATAACCAGATAGCAGAAAAGGAGGCTTCTTTGGAGCATTCCATCCCCTTCATCTTCCTCCTCTTAAATCGCGAGCCATCACCATGTCAATGGCCTTGTTTTCTTCGTCTCCTCCTCCGCCCACCACCCTCTCCGCCCTGTCTCTCAAGCACCGCCTCTCCTTCAGAACCCAACTCGCTCTTTTCCCCAGGAAAGCCCCCTCCTTGTTGCTACCTAGGTCCACCGACAACGGTGCAGGGGTGGTGAGCTCTACAGCGACCGTGGCGGAGGAGGAGGAGGAGAAGGATAAGTTGGAGGAGAAGAAGGAAGAAACGCCTCCCCCAGCTGCCGCGGAAAAGGATGTGGAGAGTAAGCAACAATCTCTTCTTGGCTCCAACGGCGCTGCGGCAAGGGCGGAGGAGGTGCTGCCGCCCAAGTTCAAGGACACCAGGTGGGTCGGGGGAACGTGGGATTTGAAGCGGTTTCAGAAGGATGGGAAGACCGATTGGGATGCGGTGGTGGATGCTGGTGAGACATCTTTATCCTCTGTACTCGCTTGATGTTGTTCCTCTGTTTCGCCATTGGGCAATAGGGCCAACGAATCGTGTACGAAGAAAAAATCACACGGTGGTGATAGATTGAGGAACTTGCATTGAATCATAAGTCATTTAGGCATGACAACATTGCTTTATTTGTGGTGGTGTTTGGGAGCTTTCTTCTTGTTGTAGCACTGTTAAGCTTTTGCAGGTTCTCCATCTATGGTGTAGTTCAGGTATAATTTGTTTGTATCTTCAACTAATTGTTTCTTTGCAGAGCAAATAGTTAAGGCTCATTTGATTGTTATCAAGTTACTTTTGTCGGACTAGTTTACAACACCAAATATGAACCTGGAAATATGTCACTTGATAGGATTCAACTTTTAGCTAAATGCCTAGAATTTGGACAATAGTTAATTGCATCACCCTATTTAGTCCCACTTTGGATTTGTAAGGAGATGGCTAGATGAGTTTACTCCTATCGATTTGAACTTGAGCATTTTCGGTCAGTGCACCCCTTTCAAGTATATGGATCATTATTCCATTGGTTCGTGGGGGACCAGTGATTTTAAGTTATATATTTAATGAATTAGTTAACCCATCGAACATTTAGAAAATGAAATTGAAACAATATGTCTCCATGGTTTGTCTAGAATCCTTAACATTTTTTTATTTCCTGGGATGGTATTGTTGAGTATTGAAAATCAACTAAAAGTTTCAGCTATTGATATGACAGGGTTTTATCATCCATGTTGTGGAACTTCACAATACGGGCCTTGGAGACTCGAAGACGAACCTCCAGCTTTGATGTCATGTTAACCATCAACGATTGCCAAAAGATCTAATAGGATTTTATCATGTATATTTTAAGAAGGGTCTCTTACGTTGTTGGCCTTGACTTTCTAGCAAATTCTTCCTGGTAACACCATGATATGGTAAGGTTGCTGGGTAAAAGGTGGAACTCATTTGAAGGTCATGCATTTGTGATTGTAGCAGGGTATGGATTATTTTTGGTAGAGCAAAATTTGTGAAGCCTCTTTACTAGAAACAGCTCTTTTTTTTCCTCGGGACATTCAAATAGTTTTAGTATCTAAGTTTACAGTGAACTCGTATCGGTCAAAGTAGATAAGTCGTGACATATGTGATCTAGCATCTGAATCAGTTTCTTTGTATCTGACATTATTGAACTGATTGTAATATTGTTTCTGTTAGTTGGAATCTCAATTAAGATGGTTTTTTATTATCGTTATTCTATACTCTTTATATATTTTTTTTGTTGTTTCTGGTGTCAGTATCATTTAAAATTTAACAGACACTGATTTCATACACAATTCATTCAGAGGTTAGGAGAAGAAAATGGCTTGAAGAAAATCCAGAAGCATCAAGCAATGACGAGCCTGTGATCTTTGACACATCAATTATCCCATGGTGGTCATGGGTCAAAAGGTTCCACCTCCCTGAAGCTGAACTACTCAATGGTTGGCCTTGTTTTTTACCTTTTTACGTGTCCAATAAGTTTTTGGTCGGTTTCACCTTGAATTGACTGTCTTGTTTATGCAGGTCGTGCCGCGATGATTGGATTTTTCATGGCTTATTTTGTGGATAGTCTGACCGGAGTAGGTCTTGTTGATCAGATGGGGAACTTCTTCTGCAAAACTCTACTGTTTATAGCTGTTGCAGGGGTGCTGCTTATAAGAAAGAATGAAGATATTGACACACTAAAGAAGCTTCTTGATGAAACAACCTTCTACGACAGGCAGTGGCAAGCAACTTGGCAGGAGGATAAAAGCTCTAGTGATTCAAAAGCTAAATAGTAGCTGGATTTTCATTCACAACATCCTTTTTTCTTTTGTTCTATGCCTACCATTTTCCATTTCTAGTGATTTGTCATAGTAATATTCTGGATATGAGCAATGTCAAAGTTCTTTCTCCATGAAGACTAGTGTGCCCAAAGTTGAATTTGAAATGCATCCTCATTTTGAAGAAGTCGATTTGTATGCGACAACGAGATTGTTGTTCATCACCACCTTGTGAACTTCTGCATTCACCAAAGAAATAAGGAAAAATTTTGGAGAGCAGAATTGTGCCATGGATGATCAAGAAGACAAAGTTGTGGCAATTGTTGCAGGGTTTTGTGAGTGATGATTTGCATTGTAGAGAATTGCGCATTCTGCACAGATTGAGAGAGTGCTTCATTTGGAAGAAGAAAATGTTGGGAGTCTTGATAGTGAGAAGGCATTCCAAGCATGTGGTATTCATTTCCGAACTGCAGTGGCTGATATGACATACTCAACTGGAAATGGTGACAAACTGTGGTGTTCATCCTCACTAGAAAAGGAGACTTGATTTCCAGCACAATCCCACAACCTTGCACATAAACTATCACAATTCTGCCTAAAAAATGTTGGTATTTTTGAAATCTTTGATCAAAAGGGCACAATTTCTCTTCAAACACAGATTCTATGCTGCTTTTATATGTTGTTATGATACTTGAACTTATACACACCCTTGCAATCAACACCAAATGGCTATCTTTGCAGTTTCAGATTGCCCACGCAAATAAGACACTTCTTCACAAGACTTAAATATTTTTTACAGAACAAACTAATCCATCAATGGGCAAATGGAAGCAAACAAGCTTGAAAGACTATGCAATAAAGCTGCTGATGACAAATATTGATTTCTCATTTCTTTCTTTACAAACATACACTGGTTCCCAGAGCATGTAGAACAGAGATTATGTTCCTCCAATGCAACCATGTTTAGGGAGATAACTGTATGCAGACTCTATAAAAGTTGGTCGACAAGAGACCACATTTTTAGCTATCAACATCGAGCTTAATGTATTAGGTCTGGGTTATGTCTTGATACTAACAAGGGAAATAGCAGCTAAGAGTGCATCTAAGACTCTCTTGCACCTATATCTGCAACTCGCTTGAGCTTTAGATTTATAGGTTTTTCCAACACTAACACATTAATGTTGTCCCACACATCTGACTTCGTTCCAAGGCCAGCTATTTTTTCTGCAATATCCATGTCTTCGGGCAAAACGGCACCAAAGACTGTGTATGCTCTTCTCCACTCATTGTGATTTGCCAGGCTGATTAAGAAATCAGGGCCAGAGTCAACCCATGCAACAGATCCTCTCGTTAATGCAGGGCAAGCCTCCAATGGTGACTTCTTGAATAGAAATCCTTCAGCTTCTAGTGTTCCTTGAATCAAAGCATAAGGAGGACCAAAAGAAGCCTGTATGGTTCAGAAAAGGATCACCAATGAGAACATGAAAATGTATGACGCCTGTAGAGGACATGTTATGCATAGTCAGCCATCATGAAGGTTTCGTGTAGACTGTAGAGTAAGATATTAAGTGGTTGTTTCATGCATAATTCACAAGGCTTCATGCATGTAAGGTAACAGT